CTACATATCTTCTTTGCATTCTTTAGGAAAGCAGGAAAGCTGGAGAATGTTTACACACTGCAAACAGAATGTACAACTCCAACCGAGGAACCATAATTCGGTTCAACTGCATGGCAAATTTCTTGGCCATAAAATCTGGCATGCATCACAGAGGCCCCGTCTGTGTACAGATCCACCTGGCATTTGTCATAACTTCAGATCACGTCTTTAAAAAAAAACAAAAATAAAATAAATTATGCCACTTCTTGTTCATTTCAGACACAGTTGTCATTAGGTTTGTTATTAAAAGGGGATTCTTGATCATGCCATTAAAAGCCTGTCTACCTTTTCATTGGTGTCTTCTCCCATTTATTGGTGTTGCCACAGGTGTGCCACCTGAATTGCTGGCGGGGGACCTTGGCTACGATTGTGCTTGGGTTTCATTCCAGCTGTGTGGCAGCTGTGGACCACGTTCCTTCTCTGAAACCTCCTGCAGAGCTGTGCCCCGCGTTGGCATAAAATCTCCCCACAATGTCCAATATTTTTCTTACATCCTGACAACTCAGTTGGCTGCAGCCAACGCCAAAGCACGTGCTGGCAAGGGCCGGGAGAATTCCCTCGTTTCAAAACGAGCATCAACGACGCAGCTCCTGCCTTGTGCATGTGAACAGGTACGCAAAAGCTCAGAGCTGTTTGATTTGCTGGTAGCCTTCCCCGATGCCACAGTGGCAATGCTGGCTCTCTGTTCTCTTGTGGCTTGTGATTCGTGCAAGCAGCTGGGGCCAGAGGAACGTGGAAGAATGCACCAGGGCAGGGCTGCTGGTGTTCATGCAAGTGTTTCTGCACCATAGATGCGGAGCGGCGGAGGAACGACACGCCGAGACGGACTCAGTGTGGGTGATAGAGCATCGTATATCTTTATTGGTCCAGGGTACACATATTTATACAGACAACGCTAATTATTATGCCTACTAGTCACCAGCTGATTGGCTTAAGCTCTAAGGGTCGTATTCGCACGGTCCACCTACTTGCAGTCAGCTAGCAGCACAAGCTTCTCATAACACTCAGTTTCTCAGGCCACTATTTCTAATTCCTCTTAACCTGTTTTCAACACACCACGGTACCATAACACAAAGTTTCTCAGGCCAACATTACCATAACACTGGGTTTCTCAGACCACTATTCCTAATTCCCCTTAACCTGTTTTCGACACACCACGGTACACAGGGCTGAAGTGTCCTTGACATTCCTCCTGTATCAGCAGCTGCGAGCAGCTGCAGGCAAACCCTAGTGAGGCCCAGCATCAGCGAGGGAGCATCAGCCCCTAGAACAGGCTCTGATCGTACAACTGCTCGGGGGGCTCAGGACCCTTGGCTCTGAGCCATTCTCCAACACACAGACATATTCCTTCGCCACAAATCTTCTTCACAACCACACTGTGGGCAGCAGGCTCGGCTATCCACTTCCAAAATAGCACGTCAGGGAGCAAAGCCTGCTCTTTTAACAACAACAAAAAAAAAAAATGATGCTTTTAGGGTAGAAGCCTAGATGCCACAGCCAAGTAACGTTTGTGCAGTTGTTTGCAGGACCCCCGCCTGGCTGGTCCACGCGGTTCAGCCGGGACCTGCCTGGGGGATCTTCACTGAGCTCCAGAGCTGGACAAGGACAATGTTTTTACATGACTGCTCCTGCTCTTCTGCTTGATATGGTCTTCCCAGTTTGAGCACCACTGGGATCATGACCATAGCTCACTGGCCCCGGCTGTACCCCGTGCTGGGACCAGCCAGCGGGGGCTGCCGTTGGCCCTGCACATTAATGTGCTGGACGCGGAGCAGAAGCACACCAGGAACCTGGCACGGTTTGACACTGAAGCCGAGGGCAGCTCCAGCAGTCGTTTCCCCACGTGCGAGTTGCCTCGTGGCTGCCGTGTGCAGCCCCCACCCAGGTCTGGGTAGTGGTTTCTTACCTAGGTTTGGGAAGGGGTGGTGGAAGAGAGACCAGGGCAGCTATTGAAGGATCATTTTCATCAACCATTAACTCCGTACCCCCTCACCACCTGCACTCGAGCACCTTTCCTGAGCACTCTGCAGGCAGGATGAGGCACAGCTTGCCAGCAGACAGACATCCTCTGCAGCCTGACACGGGCACTACAAGGCTCAAACACATTACTGGGCCAAACATGCACAAGCTCACGGCCACCTCGCGGGCGCACAGCAGGCGGCTGCTGGCGGGTGGGTGTCCGCTGCTGTGGCTCCCTCAAACGGGCTCCTTCTCCCGTTGCTCAGCTGCCATCTCAGTTTCTCTGCTGCATTTTTTTGAGGGTTTGGTCTGTGAGTCCTTGTGCTGCTCCACGTCACCTTCTCAACAATTTTACTTTTTCTTGTGTTTTCAGTTTTCCTCCCTGACGTTGCTTTCGCTCACGGACTCTCTCACAACAGTCTTTCCCACAACCTATTCTCCTAAACTCGAAACAGGGTTTGGCATCAAATCTGGTCCATGGGTCCCAGAAGCCTGAACACTCGGCTACAGGTTTTGAGCTGAGCTAGCGAAAATAAGAGCTAAGACATCAGCAAACACAAAGCCATTTATGCATCCTGTCCCCGTCGAACGGGATGTGAACGTAGCTTGACGCTACAACCATCTTTTGAGATTCCTTTGAGCCACCTTGTCTCTGATTCAGCTCACCTCCTGTGTAGCTACGCCCGTATTTCTATGCATGTGACCCTGTTAATGTGAGCAACACTATCACATTTCACATGTAGCTTCATGGACTGGATTTCTCTGCTCAGCTGTGTAAGGTTCCCCTTCTTGTTTTACCGAAGGACACGCACTTACAGCCACCTGAACCAGAGTTTCAGAGGGATGGGAATGGAGGGATGGCAGACAGTACAGGAGAGGACACGTCCTGGCAATGTCCAAATAACGACCAGGTGGCCGTTATCCCAGGAGTCGAGAAGAGGAAGTACTAGTAAGAAAGATGAGTGCTTGGGAGTTTTTTGCAAATCCTGCTGGTAAGGTAGGACCCCAATATTCTTGGGTGTAACAGCTGGTAGCTGTGACTGATAGCACGGAGGTGATCGTTTGCTGCAGGAGGAGGCTTTGCTATTGCACGTGCTGGATTTAGACCAGCCGTAGTGATTCTGCCTGGAGCATTTTACACTTCAGGCTCTATGACAAAAGACAGGTTTTCATTCCGAGCGCTCACCGTATTGGTGAGTTTGATGGGATTTAGAGCTGAAGAACATGAACGTGGAATCACTTTTAGTAGAGGAACAAAAACTACCAGGAGTTCATATTTGGAGGGAAGCGAGAAATCACCCCTGTGCAATTGTATTTGAACATGACGGAAAGGAGTGCTTTCAAGTGGATCTTTTGGTGCCTTTTCCCTCAGGTGAGCATGCCAACATGAAAAGGGTTTTGCACCTCTGGAACAACACCACTGTAACTCAAAAAGAAACGTAAAGAAGGAAACTGGGAGCTGCTAGATAAGGAAGCGTAACAATCAAAGGGTTTATAAATAGATTTCCACCCAGCTCACTGTGTGGCGAGGCCTTTCTTTTTATGCTAGCTCTCACCAGCGTTTTCAAAGGGCTCCGTGGCTTGCAGCCAACTACCTACAGCACACCCAAGTCCTGTGAAAATGTCTCTTCAGGTCTCCTCTTGGGTCCAGGAACGTGGCTGGTGTCTGCTCGCTGATCTCCGGTGCTGCTTCAGGCTCCAGCTGACGGGGACTCTCCCTCCCTGCCCACGCACAGGTCACCCCCAGGCAGGCTCAGCGGCTCCATTGAACGATGCTCCCAGGAAACTCTCTCCCCACAGGGCCCCACTTGGCCATCCCCAAGGCACTAAGAGCAAGAATGAGGCTGAGAGCAAGTGGCTTGGCAGTTGTGCCGTGATTCCCCTTTCATTAGTGTGTATCATAAAAGACATGGTAAATGCAATCCAATTAATAAAGCACGTTTACTCACCGCTACAAAAAGTGAGCAAAGCAATTCCACCAGCCACTGATATGGATTGCAGAGATCAAGTGGGGCAGAAATAAAGCAAACAGAGTCAAAAGAAGAATTGGACGTTGCAGAGAACAAATAGTAAAATGATATTCAGCTCCACAAATAAATAAAAAGCAGCAACAACAACAACAACAAAAAAAGCCCTGGCAGCAATAAATGCAGTCACTAGCCAGTGAGCATGGTTAGGTATTAAAAATAATCTAAATATGGCTCAGATCACTGGTTAAAATAGTGTTTACAAGGCATTAATGCTCCCAGGCAGCAGCAGGAAGAGATGGGGAGGACAAGAAATCCAAATTCACTTTGTCCAAATTTCATGACTGTGGTTAGGACTGAAATACCTATTTGAAACACTTGTGTATGTGGTAAAATAGCTCACCCAGCATCATCATAGTCTAACACACCAAATGAGTGCACTGTCTGAGATTTCAGATGATAAGAAACCTACAGGATAAGAATATAATCTGTGCCAGTCAGTGTGATATCCCGGAGGCTGGCTTTGTTAGGCAAATATGGTAGCTTCTTTTTTTTTTTTTCATATTCTACACTTAATCATATACAGCATTTGACTAAACATCCCAAAACACACTATTTCCCCATTCGTACTTTGAGCTGCATGGCTCACAGGTGAGAGCTGCCCACCCCCCTGAGCCGCAGGACACAATTAAGCCAAGCTGGGATAAAGCAGCCCATGGTAATCCAATTAAAGAGTGATGAGGAGCAGCAGAAAGCTTAGCCTCATTTGGGTACACCAACCCGACGGGAGAACACCATCAGCTCCTCTCAGCTTCAAAGAGCTGTGAAAAGTTGGTGACTGAAGAGAAGAATAAAAAGTAAGTGCTCCCTCGGAAAGATGTTCCTATGATGGCAGATTTTATTCTTTCTTATATATATATTTCTTATATATATATATATATATATAAGAAATATAAGAAATATTCTTTCTTATATTTCTTATATAAATATAAATTTCTTATATTTATAAGAAAGATCTTATCTTTCTTATAAAAGAAAACACAGTTGTCTCCAGTGCAGAATCTAAATCCATAGAAAGACAAACCTGGATCTAGTAAGCCCCTTAAAGCCTGTGTCAGGAACAGGCAGGCAAAAATTAAAGCTGAAGAGCAGCAACGGGGACACGGAGAAATCTCTCGGAACCACCCGGGGCGGCTGCCAGCAGGAGGGATTGCCTGCGGGGCCTCGCCACCCACTCCTGGGTGGTGCAAAGGGAGGTTCTCTGGAAAGCACGTCTGCCAGGCGCAAGGGCTGGGCACGGTGTGGGCAGGGGTGCTCTGCCAAGGGAGAAGGCAGGTGGGGAAAGGCACCAAACCAAGCTGCTCTTACTGGAACGCCGTCAGGAGACACGAAGAGACGGGTTTGTAGGAGGAGGTGGTATCTTTTCTAGGACCGGCTGATACAGCTGGAAAAAATCAAAGAGGCTTTTGGGCACAGAGATCTTTCTTCTGCAGACCTGGCACAGCCACCTCGAGATATTTCAAGACCAGAAAAGCCCCGGTGCAGACAGGGCAAGCCACAGAAGAGCCTCAGCGTGGTGGGGGAAGCCTGCGCTGCAAGGAAATGCAGCTTCTGCCTGTTATTCCTGGCCGTGCCTTCGTCCACCCTCTAACGTCTAATGAGGGACTCTCAAAGTGGGGCTCGGGGCTCTGCCAGACCCGGGGACCCCCGATGAGGCCTGCAAGCCTGTAACTTCCACGGAAGCCACTAAAATGCGTCTGGAGGCAGAGAGCACCTAGAGACCGACAGACACAGCATTCGCACGGGTTTCATTACTCACAGAACAGCTCAAAGACAATTACGCCGTTGAGTCCAGCTGTTTAAAATCACTAATTGATATTTGAAACAAAATGAGGTAAAGACTCACATTTAAAATAACAGGCTAACCTAGCCCAAAACCTTTCGGCATGATGTTCATAGGCTAATTCAGGCTGGAGGGGACCCTGGGAGGTCTCTGTTCCAAGCCCCTGCCCCGAGCAGGGTCAGCGCTGGGGTCCCAGCAGGTTGCTCCAAGGCTGTGCTGGAGTTACAGAGCAGGACAGCGGCTGGGGGGGTTCGTCCCCCTCCGAAAGCAAACCAGCCCAGCCAACCTCCCGGCGGCTGTCCCCCGAGGACGCTGGCCGAAGCGGAGCCCTCGGCGCTCGACCCAGGCGAGTCCTGGCAAGTTTGCTTGTGGTGTCGAGAGGCCACCGAGATGTAATTTCAGCAACAGACGGCCAAAAAAGCCAGCCCGGCTGCACGAGGCGCAGAGCAGAGCACCGGCTCTGCCCTCGGGGTAAGGCTGGGGCTGGGAAGGAGCCGGGCAGGAGCTGCTGGTGGTGGTGAGAGCGTCCGTGGGGCGCGGGCGGCTCGCGGTCCTCCCCGCTCAGCCACCGCCCCTGCGCGAGGGCACATCTGCGGAGCGGGACCCCGAGCTGCTGAGGGCGGGAAGGACGTTTTGGAGCAGCCGGCTCTGCCGAGGAAGGGCAACGTGGTGGCTTGCACCGAAGAGCTCCCCGTAGCCACGTCCCCCGACTCACCCGCGATGCCCCAAGCAGGACAGATGGACGGGCAGGCCGACAGGGGCCGCAAAGTCTTAACGCGAGGCTGAGAAGATGCGGTGCAAAAAGAGGTTAATTAAGGAACTTCAGAAACTTGTGTACTGGGGTGCTGATATAAGGACATGAACTGCATCTCGGTAAGGACGTATATGACGTTACGTGACATTGCCCTCAACAATTACATACATGACAATACAGCCTGTCTGCAGGCATATAAAATCACCTAAAAATAAAATTATGTTGGAATTTTAATCCAAAGCATGGATGTAAATTGAAAGCCGTCAATACGCGTCCGGTTTGGGACAATGCATCTAATAGAGTCACAGAAACTGCATCCTCGAGCAAGGAATAGGCTGGAGGCAAGAAGGCCATCTGGAAAACAAGACTAAATAAATGCCCTGTTCCTACAGTCTTTCCCAGGCTTCTTGCTAGTGTTGGAGATGGAATACTGGGGGAATTCCTCATTGATTTGAAGGGTCACGGCCTGCATCAGTCCCTGTATTGCTGAAACTGCAAAGGACAGAGGATCCCTACTCAAACACAGGGCGGCAAAATCAAAACTGAAGTCCTGGTCACCCGAGAGAGAAGCTAGGGGAAGCTTAGGTTTAAATGAGAAAAATGGTGGAGGGAAGGTAATTAGTGGAGGAAGGTGATGAGTGCAGGAAGGCGAAGCAGTCCCAGTGCTGCAGGTCTGGTGCTGTATGGTGGAGGCAGCTCCCCTGGACGCTCTGCAGCTTTTCTTTACTCCTTTCGGGGAGGAATCCCCTGGGAATGGCCTGGGAGAGGGCAGGACAGAGCTGTGGAGCTGCTGGGACGTGACGAGCACACAGCCCCGTGGGCCGGGAAACACGAGCAGAGCGAATGTGAGATCTCACTTCACCTGCTCAGTAATTACTTACAAATCACTCTCTGGGTCCTGCCTCCCCATCTCCTCTTTCAGTGGAAGCAAGCGTGTGACTGTGTGTACTTTCACTCCTACGCCTTTACTGTCTGCACGGGCTGTCCAAAAATAACGTTCCAGCCAGTGCTCAAGCCTGCTCCAAGCTCCCCAGTTTATTTACAAAAACAGCTGTCACTTGTTTGTGTAACAGAGTGGCTGCACGCGGGACAACTGCAAGTAATGGAGAGTACAGGAGGCTTGTTAGCGTAAAGTCACTCTCCTCTAACACCAAGCAAAGATCTTCAGGAGCCCCGGGGCCTCTCTGTTGGCTGCTCCTGTGTTTTTCCCCACTGAACTACAAAATCTGGTGTGTGCATGTCCTGCCAAGAGCATTTGGACGCACTGCTGCAGCATGGGGCACCTTAGGCTGACGCTGCAGGCATCGTCTGCTAACTTTGGCCAACTTTGTAGGACCTCGGTGTCCAAACTGCCTTTGCAAATAATAGAAAAAATTGAGACTCCCTGTGTGTGGCACATCTCTCTCCTGCAGGTATCCCAGCCTGCGATGAGCTGCAGTTAGATGGGGACGCCTCTGCCCTCCGAGAGCAAGATTAGTCTAGCTCATTGGCTCTGATGGACGTGTATGTTCATGGCAGTCAGGCACAACTCAAAGGGAGGGAGGATTTTAGGATCTGCAGCTTTCCCATAGGAGAAAAATACCATTTAAACACCAACCTGCAACAACCGACCAGATCTCCAGCTCCTCTGCAGCGGTTGAGGTACCTGCGGGGTGGCTCTAATCGCTAAAGGAGCAAATCGATTCCCCCTCTGCTTTCACCGTGCAGCCCGTTACAGCTCCACACAAGCTGTGATGAAATTACTGCTGGAAACAGAAAAGCCAGCACGTTAGAGTCATTTAATAATTTTCGTTCTTGATGAGTAGTTGGCATCCCAACAAGGAGAGGAAAGAAAGATTGCAGAAAACTGTACACGTGTGAAGTAAAAAGTAAACTCTTCTTTTCAGCTTTAGAGTGGCAGGAGAGGAGGCTGCCTGCTCCCAGCACTGCCAGGCGAGGCCGAGCCGTTTGAGTCAGGTCCTGGGTCTAATTAACCAAGTGGTAAGGCATAGTCAGTCACAGCAAATGCCGTGGTGGTCATTAACTAAATCTGGTGCCTGGACGAATGAGCATGTTTGGGTTAGGGAAATACAGCAATCAACTGATGTACGTTTTAAGCAATTGCAGTATGAACAGCAGAGCCCCAAGGAGTTGCAGAGCAATGACCCTTAACTTTATTTCTGACGGGGGAGGCTGGAACTGCTTTGCAGTTTAAATATGCAACGGCCTATCAGTGAGAGTTTCTGTTCTTTGCTCTTAAAAGACCAGTGGTGGAAAAAAAAAAAAGCAATTTGTCCTTTAGTTCAACTTCAGCTTAAGCTGTAACCCTGCAGGCCCAGGGTTGTCAGATGTCCGTGCTTCACTCCTGCCTGCCTCCTTCCTGCTCGCCACAGGGAGAGCACTGAAATGGTTCATAGCAAAGACTGGGGCGGCACATTAGTCAAACGTGGGCGACCAGGAATGCTGCCGAAAAGAGCAAAGATCTCCTGAGGTCACAGCACGGCATCCTTTGCCTTTTAAGTGTGAGCCCATGGTGTTATCTCGCTCGGTGTGCTTTGTACCCTGGGCCACACTCAGTCTGGGCATTCAGCCACAGCAGGAGACCCTACAGAAGGCTTTTTTGGACCTCCTCATCTCTACCTGCTGCTTTACAGCCCTTTCTTGCTGTTCGTCTGCTGCAGGCGCTGGGGCAGGCAGCACCTGCAGTTTATCTGTGCCCAGCCACCCGCTGTGCCTGCACCCCAACACCAAACACCACCCCGTTCTAGGTGGATGGCCAAACCAGAGCTGCTTTAAAGCAGGGCGTGCTCCAGGACAAACAGCTTGGAGAAGGATTTGGGATGGCTCGTCGGCATCCACAAATGCTCGAGACTGCGGGGCTGGTGGAGGAGGGAGGATGCAGACTGCGAGGAGAGAGGCACAGAGCGTGAAGGTGCAGCGGGAGATAGCCCGGAGCAAGCTGTCGGGAGCTGTGCCACTTTATGTGCACCCTGCAAAGGGGTTGTGGCCTCTGAACCAGCAGCGGGGTGCTGCGCCTGCTCGCTGCGTGGTGCACCGTGCTCTGAACCACTCGGGGCGCGACCGTCTGGGACGTGGCACCCCCAGGAGCCGCCCCGCGTGTCCAGCCTCCCCGGAGCACTCCTGCAAGGGAAGCGTGCCCACATCCTGCACCCAGACGTGGTGAAGGGCAGCGTCTTGTACCCAGACGTGGTGAGGGTGTGGCGGGACTTGCAGCAAAGGGCCCTGCAGGCTCTCGAGACAGAGTCAGGGTAGAGCCCCTTCTCCCGCTGCTTCCAGTTTAACTGCCCTAATCTCATCCCCCTTCCCTAAATTTGCTCAGCTGTGGACCAGAGTCATGTCTCTCTTGTCCTGGAGTGCCAGTCATCCTCCAGCCATGGAAGAGGTTGTACACCTCCTGGAAATTTTGGCAGGCCGGGGGTACCTGGAGCTGCTGCTTCTGCTGGAATTTTTTTTTGTTCCTGGCTCACGGAGTAGGGACTCTTCTTCGGACCATGTTGGTTGTGTGAACCAAGCTGTGCCGGCTCTCGTGCTGTATCTCCCCAGTTGCTGCGTTCTCCAGGTATTTTTTCTATAGCTCTTCCAAAAGTTCAGCAATTTTTCTGCTCCCTGACACCCTGGGCTCAAAGCTTTTGCCCACCGGCTGTGTGATACACAGCTGCGCGTTACACGCCTCTGATGACCAGCCACCTTTCAGCCTCTCGGATGCACTGGCCATTCTTGTTCCGCAGTGGCTCCGGCTGAATTAAGAGCTCGTTTCCTTGGTTAAGAGCGTGAGAAGAGTGGAATTTCACACGAAAGACCCCCCCCCCTCTTCCAGGAAACCACTCCCTGAGGCAGGCGGTGGGTGGGAGAACCGTGGCGCAAGGCCGGTAGTACCTGCGGCCGTGTCGGGGGGCTGCACACCCCCCTCTTTAGCTGTTGCACCGGACCCTGGGACAACCAGCTGTGACCTTGCAGGAGCCACATCGTGGCCCACCATGCGGCCAGCACAGCCTCTCCGCGCGCCCACGCTGCAGCTCTCACCAGAGAGCTTCCCTTCCTGGGAAAAGCACCTTCCCTGCTGGAAAAAGGGACTCTCTGGGGAAACATTTTCACTTTTTTCATCCTTCGGAGGGCACTGGCGAGCGGGTGGCCATCACCCGCAGCCCACCTTTTCTTCCCAGAGCGCTCACCTCCCTCTTTGCATCCATCCAGAGACTCATCTCTCTCCTGTCCTCCTCTGGGCACCCTCTCCGTACTGCCCGCTCCCGGGTCATGACTTGAAACAAGCCATACTGAAAAACACTCTAGCTGATGCACAGCCCCCAGGCTTTGGGTCGGCCCCGCTCTCCTGGAGGCCTGTTTCATGATCCAACTGGGCTGACTGCTCTGCTCGCAGTGCCTGGAACACTGCATGGCACCCCCACGCTAGAAACCCCAGTGCTTTCACTGCACTCTTCCCACAGCCTCCTTTCCCAGTGCGGATCTCCCTCTCAAAAAACACAACGGGAGAAAAGAACTCTAAAAAGAGGAGGTGCCTTGTGCTGGGTCAACTTGAAATGGATGTGCTGTGTGCACACAGGATGATTTCTTTGGCTCGACCCCAGATGGAAAGTTTCACTGTGACTTTTGACAACATCTCAGCAAGGTCTCAAAGTCCAACCAATTGGCTGTATGAAAAGCCATGGGAAGTGGAGCTCCAAGGACACAGACCTTTTCAGGCTCCTGCTGCTGCCCCTTGGTGTTCAGGTGCTCTGAAGGAACAAACTCCATAGAAAACATGAAATTTGAGGATCTCTTGCTGGAAATCGGTGGCTTTGGCAGATTCCAGATTTTTATTTTGCTTATCCTCTGCCTCCCAAGAATCAACCTTCCCATGCATTTCCTGCTGCACAATTTTCTTGCCGCTACCCCCGCTCATCACTGTGCAGTTCCACACCAAGAGGCGTTTCTGAACTTCACCAGGGAGGAAGTTCTGCTCATCAGCATCCCCCGGCAGCCCGACGGCACGTTCAGGTCCTGTGAGATGTTCTCGAAGCCTCAGTTTCACCTCCTGCTGAATTCCTCTCTGCAACCAGAAAACAACTCCATCATCCAGCGGTGCCAGCACGGATGGGTCTATGACCACTCACAGTTCACCTCCACCATCTCCACCCAGGTAACGCCTGGCCTGTGATCTAGCCAAAAATGAAATTAGCTCAGTGTTTTGAGGAGCAGATGGAGAAGTGTTCGCCGGGCACACAGAGCCAGAGGGGAATCTTTGCATTTTAACCAGTGGAAATTACTTGGTTAGAGATTTCCTGGGGTGGGGAAGCTCTCTGAAGCTCAGACTTAGAAGCCAACATTTTTATTATTACTATTATTATTATTACTACTACTGTTATTCTACTACTACTACTATTATTACTATTATTACAAGCCTCTTGTTTAGACTGATAGTTAGAATCCAACATTTCTCATTATAGGCATCTTAATTTCTCCAGATGATTGAGAGTTTGGAGGGGGCGAGGGGAAGACACACATCCAGGATTGTCTCTGCGCCACATGGCATCTGCACAGGATTACACCCTACCAGGATTTCACACGAGCCCACGACTTGCTTTCTTGATTTTTTCCAAACACTTTGCAGCTTGTATTCCCTTGGCCACCCCTCCTCGCTCATCTCTGGCTTCCCCCTCTTCTCCCCAAGAGCGTGCTGCCTCTCTTCTCTTACCACCAGTGGCTCTTGCTGTCAAGCCACGTGTGCTCCCCCAGGGCCTCCCGCTGAGGTGCTGGCCAGCCACAATCTGGAGCCTGCCCGAGGTCCCCTGCCCATCAGACATTAACCAGCTGCCTTCAGAAATGCTTTGCTAAGGCTGACAGCGACACCTCGGCGCGTTAATGCTTTAACTTCCTCGAAAGATGGCCCGAAGCACAGGAGGTCCTAGGAAGGGGACAATTTGGTCGGGCAAAAGGGGCAGGGTTGGGTTTAAAATTATAGCAGCTGCCTGTCTCAGTGAGAGCAGGGCCAAGCCTCAACGCGGTGCCTCCCTCCCACCACCCAACCACCCCTGGTTTTGGCAGGCACAGAGGTGGGGGTCGGATGTGCACCCGGTCTGCACCTGACTCCTGCACCCCTTCGGGCAGAAAGCCCTCCTGGGGGAAAAGGCAGGGGAGCTGCTCTGCAGCACAGGTGCTGAGCACGGAGCCTCCTGGTGCTGCACCCACAGGGCAGGGGCCCCGGGACCTGTTCGAGGGGCTAGAGCTTTCTCTTGCAGTCCTTTTGCTCTTGCAGCAAGAAAGGTCGCTCGAGGTCTGGCCGGCCTGGTCAGGGAGGCTGCGAGGCTGGGTTGATGATTAAATTAAGTTTTGCCAAGTTTGCACATATAAAAAAATTAACTCTGCAGCTTGGGCACAGCTTTCTGTAATGATTAGCAACATTTGCACCTCCAAGAAAGTAAAATGATGCTCATTAACTTAATTAGGAACAATGTTTAGACCAGCTTCTCAGTAAGAAGTCAGTAAGTTAGCATCAGGAGCAAGTATTTGCGCTGACTCCCCCTCTGCTCTCCTTCTTCCCTGCAGAGATAACTTCAAAGGGAATGGGTCAGGGCCGCAGTAACTGGGTATCACACGACACCCCCCAGTGAAGCTGACTGCAGTGCAGCACCCTGCAAGCACCCGTCTCACCAGGGGCACGAGATACGGAACTGGGGGAGACAGGCACCCGGGCAGGTGGAGAGCAGCTATCACAGGGCTCAGGAGAAGAGAAGGAGAATCTCTCGGTGAGCGGTGGCACCCAGGAAAGCTTTGGGATGCCCAGCGAGTGTCCGCAGAGAGGCTGTCACAGTGGGGACGGGTAGCTGGGAGGCCTCTGAGTTTTGTAAGGCGGAGGTTTTACATTTGCTCAGGGCTCCAGCGCTGCCCGAGGTGCAGTCTGGCGCGGGATTCCACCCCACAATCAGATTCAGCCGATAGAAATTGCACGACGCGATGGCCGACGGCCGGAGGGAACGGGGTGTGAAGGCAGCTGGGCACCCAGTGTCATTTTTGGCCTTGTGTTTCAGTGGGACCTCGTGTGTGAGCAGCGCGGACTGAACCAGGCAACTGCAACCTTCTTCTTCATCGGCGTTACGGCGGGGGCCGGGGTGTTCGGATACCTTTCGGACAGGTTTGACCCCTTTCAGGGCTGTTCCTCCGGGGCTTCGGTTTCATGATGAGAACCTCACACACCTGTGGCCTGCAAAAGGCAGAGGTGCAGGGAAAGGAGTAAGCGCAATCATAAAGGGAGAACCCCGACTCTGGCTCGAAAATGGGATTAAAATCATCCTGGGAAGCAACTCAGGGGCTAAATGCTCCCTAGATCAGCCACTTAGCAGCCCACCAGAGAGGCAGCTCTGGCCTCGGTTAGGAGGGAGAAGCACTGCAGCATTGCTGCAGGAACAGTAAAAACTGATAAAACCCGGAGGCCAATTTCAAGAAAGGACAACTGTCTACAAAAGGAGAAAGTTGGCTAAAACAGAACCAAACCGAGGCTAAAAGAGGTAACTCCTTGCAAGTTATATGGAAGTTGGTTAAGGACACCCAAGTGAGGGGCTCAGTGCAAATGCATGCTATAGCTGGAAAAAAAAAAAAAAAAAAAAAAATAGAAACCAAAACCCGACTGTCATTACTCGAGAAGCAGGGTAAGGGAGATTGGTAGAAGCAGGGAGGCATTCCTTGCGGAAGAGCTGAGGCAATGAGGAAAACAGGCACAAATCTGCTCTCTCTAGTTAAATTTTAGAAAATATAATGTAAACCTGAAAAGTACCTGAGTAATAACCTAGAAATGGCATCGGTTAAGAAACTAAATAGTTTTGCAACCAGCAGAACCAGGAAACCTACCAGAGAATAAGTGGTGCAGGCATGCAGTCGGGGCGTGCACCGTGCCCTCTTCATTACTTAATGTCTGAGATTCCTGCGCAGCAAACGGCTTCCTGATTTCCCTCCTCGGGGAGCAAACAAGCGTTAGTGTCCAGCAGGGTACAAAATCACTGCATAGCAGGGGGAAACCAGCTTCACAGTATGAAGCACCCAGCGACTTAGTGATGAAGGTGGGAATTGTCACATCCGTATCTTTGCATGTATCAGTATACCTCTAGAAGGACCCAAGACACATGGCTGATCTTCAAACTGTGTGTTTGGGCTTTGAATTTAAAGCGGTTTTATATCACAGTTGGAGGGAAAGAAATTCAGAATCATGAAAAGGAGCAGGACGAAATAAGGCAGGAGAGAAGGTCTCTGCTAGAGAAAAATAAGAAATCATTTGTTTTTCAACTGGATTGTGAGAGGGAAAACCCAGTAGAAGATCAAGGTGTAAAAGGAGCATCTGGAAATAAAAAGGCTGTATTGTGAGACATAAATGAGTTTGTGGTCACAATGGGAGAACCTGTAGGGGCAGGTGTTGGAGCTGGAGCTTTGAAATAAGCTGATAGAAAAAGGCAGAAAGGAAAACACCAGGTGAATGCCAGTAAACCGCCAGGAGCAGGGAGTGGTCATCCTGGAGCCCCACAGGACCTTTGGGATGAAAATTCTGGAGCACTCTTGGCTTTGTGTGACCTCCGCAGCAGAGGGCTGGGGAGGTACCCTCTATCAAATCCGTTTTAAACTGATTTCCGAAAAAGATCTCAGGAACGAGGTTCCAGGCAGCCTGACATCTATCTGCACCAGGCAAATTAGTAGAAACTATTCTGAAAGATTGAGTCGGTGGCCACGTGGGTAAACGTGACATATTGGTGAAGAATCAGTGGGGTCTTGGCACAAGATTCATGCCTTACAAACATACTGGATTTCTTCGAGTGAACTAACAGGCATGTGAACAGGGGAGATACCATCTACACAGACTTCAAGAATTTTCCTTACCAAAGGCTCCTAAAGAAACTGCGCTGCCCTAGGATGAGAAGGGAGGTCTCTGCACGACTAAATAATTGATTAAAAGCCAGGAAGGAGAAGGGAGATCTAAGTGTTCAGTTGTGACAATGGAGGGAGACCTGTGGGGACATGCGCTTGGATTTGTGTGCTTTTCAGCACATTTATAAATTATCCAAAAAAGGAGTGAGTGGGGAGGTGATGCTGAGTGCCCAGGCTGGCAGAGATCAGATCTGAGCGTGGAGAACTGCAGAAGGAGCTTAAAGAGTTCTGTGACTGGATGGGAGCACCAGAAGGTAAAATCTCAGAGTAGATTAATCTAAAATAAAGAGAGAAGCAATTCTAACTTCTCATTTAAAATTGAGGCCTCTGAGCTGACCGTAGCTGCTCAGGAACAAGACTTTGGGATTATGACAGAGAGCTCTAGGCAAACATCCATTCAGCAATGAGTCGTGGTTGGGGAAGCAAGTGGAAAATTAAGAATTATTAGGAAAGCAATATAAAATTAAAGAGAATACCGCTGCAGCAACATGTAAATGCACAGTGGCCCCACATCGTGAATACTGCGTTCGGTTTTGTTTTCCCTTCACCTCCTTTGTCGTGGTTTGAGCCTGGCGGGACACCCTTCCCCATCTCAAAAGGATACAGAAGGAATGAAGAAAATTCGGAGAAGCTAACACAAAAAGGCGAAGCTACGGCTTGACTTGCAGTTAGGCAGGCCACGACCCCTCTTCATTCTGCTGCGGCGGCAGCTCAGAAGGGTTTGGGAGCCAGCGGTGCCCTCGCCAGGAGCCTGGAGCAGCGCGGCCTCTGTGCTGCCCTCCCGAGCTCCCCGGCCACCCTGCCCACCCCCCACGTCAGGACAGCCTTCCCGCCCTCGTGCCGCCGGGCAGCCTGGAAATCTGCAGCAAATTCGGCTCAAATTCAAACCTCAGGTGTCATGCCCCCCCCCCCCCCGCCCCCCCAGAACCCCCTAAAAGCTGGCATCCCATTAGCAACCTTCCTTTCCTCTGACAGAGCAGAGGTCCCGCTTCCTTCTGTTAACAGTAATGCAGAGATTCCATCTTCAGTGGTCCAGGGTGAGAGCCATCTGGTCCTGGCCTTCTGCTACAGTTCAGGTTTGTTTTGTTCTAAGCCTCTACAGACATTTGGATTTGAGAACATCTCCGCTGACAAATTTTACCCTGGTAAACCCTCCAACAACCTTCACCGTGAACATACACATGCAAAAAAATATATCTATATATTTATATATAGAGATATATATATATATATTTTGTTCCTGTTACTGTCTGCTCTTTTCCAAACATTCCTTTTGTACGTTGTCCTTGTACTGAAATGGCTGCATGATGCTTTGGCCAACTTCCAGATTGGTTATTTATGAAAATAGCTTTTCTTTTCTTTTTCACGCTCGTGCAGTTTGCTCCTTTTATTATATTTTCTGCATTTAATCTTCCAGAGGTTGTGCTTTCCTACCTCTCCCTTTGAAGGCAATTTTAACAGCATTATTTCTAGCAGCCTCCCGGTAGCCTGCAGTTCAATCCTGCCAGCTCGGCTCTGGTTTCCCTGGCAGGTAGCATGCATTTGCTGAGACAGTCTAGTAATGGGTCCATAAATAGCTGCCTTGTGCCCTGCAGGGAATCTTATGGTGTTATATCCTTCTTACTGTAGTTTCAAGAAAAATCTTCACTCAAAAATGTATCTTCCTTCTGAGGCAGTTACCGTATTGAAAGTGGCTCCAGCTCTGGTGTGTCTCTGGGTGTTTGCTGCTCCGGCCCACGGGCATTACAAGGACTTTTGCAAACTGGCTCTGCTTAAATTTCAAAGCAGATCTGGAAAACTGCCTGGGCCCAAGCCACGAGTTGTTTTTTCTCCAGTAGATTCATTAACTAGCTACTGCATGAAGTCATTTATGATCATTTTTAGGAATGTAATTGTGGCATTATGCCCTGGCACATCACTTTTTCCCCTGGCGCAATCGTTCTTGCCGCCATCCTTCTCAGGTGGCCACTCAGAGAGCCCTAGCACCACAATCAGACCGGGATGCCAGTCCCTACAGACTGAACACTACCTGTTGACAGGGTTAATTTACTTCTCCAGTTTGAGCCTAAGCTTTCGTCGCATGCAGTGCTGACGATCATCAGAAGACGGATGCCTTGTGCTCCATTTTGATTCTTAGATTTTCGTAGATTGCGCAGAAATACATGCACACCTTCTTCTCTGTGCCTCTGCGTGTATACATGTGCATTTGTGTGCATTTAATTTTCTGTATTTCTTCACAGTCTCCACACAGGACTCTGCACCAGGCTAAGGTGGTCCTTCTAAAACCCTTGGGGAACGACCTCCTAGCAGATTCCTCCGAGACATTTTAGGACGTCAGGGCTATTTGCACATGTGGGCTGACAACGGGATTGCTTTTATTTTCCCCTGGGACCTCTGTTTTCCTTCCAAGGAGCAGGGTGACAGTGTCAGGACTCTCTCCCCACCCCGAGGGCAGTGGCAGTGACTGGTCCCGAGTGAGCCACAGGAGAGGGACACGCTGGGCCAGGCACGGGGACGGCCTTTGGAGGGAGCAGGGTGGGATTCCAAGCTGCTATCACTGCCTTTGGTGACGGCGTTGGGCAGGGGAAGCCCGATAAACTGTTCTGATGCGTGCTGCTCTCTCCGCTGGAGAGCCTCCGGGCCAACGCTCCGGGGGCAGGCTGGCCCTCGGAAGGGGATTGCCCCACCGTGGCACGGGCTATACCCCGAGCTGTCTCCTCCTCCCTGGAGTGTTGCCTCTCGCTCCCTTTGCAGAGCGGGCAGCGGTTTCATTTTCCCTCCCGAGCCTCGGGCTTGCCCCATTCCACCCCCCGCTCCCGGGACGGGTTTCCAGCCGCTGTAACGCTGCCTGTGCTCGTGGCAGGTTCGGACGGAAAGCCGTGCTCCTGCTGTCGCTCGTGTGCTCTCTCCTCTTTGGGATGCTGAGCGCTGCCTCCGTCTCCTACAGCATGCTGGCCATCACGCGGACCCTCACCGGGGTGTCCCTGAGTGGGGTCTCCCTTACTGTGTTGCCTTTGGGTAAGTACGGGGGGGTTGTGGGTGCCTGGCTGCGCAGGGGGACTTCTGACAAGCAGCGGGTAGGCAGGGACTTGTCTACCAGCCAGAGCTGGTAGGAACAGGAGTTCGGCAATCCCTACGTGTGCAATTTCACTACAGGCTGCCAAAAGAGCAACCCTGTTGGGAAGATCCAAGAATTACAGTTTTCTGTCGGTCTAATTAACGCTTTTAACAGTCTGTTCCAAATATAACAACCGCTTACCAGTACTTCTTTTGCAACACTTGCAATCCGTGCTACCCAACTCCTGTTAAGGATCAGCAGCAGTCCAATAAAAGCCACAGACCAAAGTATCTGCCCCTTTCTTCTGACAGAGTTCTCACCATTCAAACACCCTGTTAAGACAATTCATCAGCGCCGCAGTTTCCTCAGCAGGAGGAAGATGGTGTGTCCTTCCCAGGGTGTGTCTATCTCCCCAGTCTTGAGTTTACTCACAGTTTTCATAAATTCCCAATCTCTCTTTTTAGAAAGAGTGGGGGGAGAGAACCACCACCAAAAAAAAAAAAACAAAAAAAAAACCAACAAAAACCAAAACAAGCAAAACCCCATAGAGAGCTAGGCGAAACTGAAGCTGAAGAACTTACGTGATTGTATAATAAAAACAAGCTCTAGACTTCCGGGTACCCAACAGAGCACTGGATGATTTTGTAGATACAGTTCAGACATACTAGGCAAGACTCATCGTACCCAAGAGCACGTTACAGGTGCAGCAAAAATTTCCAGGATTTTTGCAGACGCAGCCAAAATCAAGGTAAACTAGCTTCAATACTGGAAAAGTCCATCTGACAAATCCCAAGGCCTGCTATGTTTTTTTTGCTGTTATAAATGGTGATGCCTGCAAGGCAAAGTAGAGCTTGGGAGGGACATCTCTGATTGTTAGAGGTTGTAGCAAGATGTCCAGATCTTTGGAGGAAAATTGGCTTTTAGTTCACGCACATAGACAAGGAGACTGTTATCTGTTCTGGCTTTACATGTGCATTAGTATCTACTTTGGGTAGATTCCACATGAGCGAGGATTCATCTTAATGTCTTTCTTTCACCCGGAATAATGAGCGGGCAGAGAAATGGGAAACTGTGCAGGCAAGATGGTTAGGGAAAAAAAAATTCTCTGTTTGATGATGAAGATCCTTTGAATGCTACTGAATGGGCTAAAAAAAAAAAAAAAGTACCACCTAGGGTGTTTTTACAACTGTTTCTTACTATACGTCCAGTAGTTGTTCTTTTAAGGCTTTATTTCAGCTGCCTGCGGTTTTTGCAAGAGGCCAAGCACTGTGGATGAACGTGTTAAATGTGCCGGGTGCCAGCCAGAGGGTGGGACGCTCCTGGAGCAGAGCAGGGACGCTGCCTCGCTTCGCGCTCGTTACGTCCCGCGTGCCCCAGCTGAACCTGCCTCCCCCTTGCAGGGGTGGAGTGGGTGGACGTCCAGCACGGCGCCTTCTCCGGGATCCTCACCAGCATCTTCTGGCGCATCGGAAACACGCTGCTGGCCACGGCCGCGTACCTGGTGCGGGAATGGCACTGGTTATTAGTGGCTGCAACGGGCCCTTGCCTCCTGAGCATCGTCTGCCTGCGGGGAGTGCAGCAACCTGGAGCCAGACGGCTGGTGGGGAGGGCAGCGGGCTGCCACGTGCCCCCCCCTGCCCCGGGGAGCGCGGCCAGACGTTGCGACGCTGACCCGAGTGGCTCCAGCCACCCGACGAGGGGCAGGACTCCTCCGTGTCCTGCACTCACAGCACCCGGGGGTGGTGGCTCTCGAAAACCGGAGCGGCCCCGGGGTGGGGGGGGGGGTTATCTCCTCACCTCCACCAAGGCCAGGAGCCCAGGTCACACCACGGCTTTGGGGACAAGGAGGAGGCAGGGCTGGGGCCGAGGCCAGGCATCTGGGGGACAGCTCGCAGCACAGAGGACAAGGATTTGGTGCTGCAAGCACTGTCAGACCCGGCTCAGAGCAAGCAAAGAGATCCCAAGAAAGGGAGGCAGGGCCAGACCAGATCCCTGGCTTTAATCCCTGGTAGACTCAAGATAATTCATGCATCTTCTGTCCCGACCTCACTGGGGAGGATCCCTCCAGTACCAGTTTTTCCATATAAGCCAATGACATCTGCAGGCTAGGTCAGCTGCGTTTACCTCTGCACTTCCCATGGCCTTTCTCAGCTGTGTGACCATCCTGACGGCTCAAATACATCTGATTTTTGTGGGCTATTTCCCTCCAGTAGCCTTATTTAAGAAACACCTGACATCTCTTAAGCCTGAAAATGGGAGCTGGTTCATTTAATCAGAGAAACTCATTTTCCTTGTTGTTTTTCTCCTGTAGTAACACAGACTAGAATACGGGGTTGATTCACTCATACTGTGACTGTAATGTGATGTGTATTGGATCCACTTATTCGATGATCCAAAACAGTCCTTTGGATAAGCAGCTCCATTTCCTGGCTGGACAAAAGTCCAGTGTTGAAATAAGCAAGCAGGTATTGAAAACACTCAGGAATGGGGCGTCTGCATCTCCTCCACCTTAGGGCGGTTGTTTAGTTCCTCTTGGCCATCAGTGGAGTGCTGGACCACTCTGCAGAAACCACAGACGTGTCTCTCAGGGTGATGGGGAGCTCCAGTGGGAAACCATGCAGAATAAGCTCTGATTGTTAACGGGCCCCAAAATTATATGCATAATTGCTGAGCAGAAAGAGTGACATACAAATGCTGAAGCGCCTTTCAGCTGCCATCAAAGAGACTTCCAGAGACTATGGTTTGCTTGCTTACAATGTCTGTCCATCAGCATGAAGCAGTAGATTAAATAGCTGCAGAGATCTAGCAGAAAAATCTCAAATAACACTTATGAAAAATGGGATATAAACTGATGCTGTTGTGAATCAATGGCTCAACAAAGATGTGTTGTTTCGCTGGTGATGAGGGTTTTCCAGCGAAGAGTAACACCTGATATTTCGCTGATCAAGCCCAACACAACTAAAATATGTGTTCTGCTGACTTCTTTAGTTTGAGCTATTTAGCGCTTTCTTTAGGACAACCAGTCATAAAAAATTGAGTCCTAGGAAGTGCTGAAATTCACCGATACATTTGGACTCGCCCTTTTCGCAATAGCTGCCTTTTTTTTCTTGTATGTTAATACCTTTTATGGAGATTAGTTCTCCGACAAATTATACCGTAGTCTGATCAAATTTCAAGCACCCAAGAGGTCAGTGATTGCTGGATAGTTAAAAGCCCCTGAAGTATGGAATCAAAATCTGATTTAGCACACTCTGCAGACATTGTTGACACAATGTCAGAACTCAGTTGAGATCTCAGACAACCAAAAGACATAATATTATACTCTGGAGATGGTGGCAAAGAGTGCAAAATGCCATCTTTCACTCTATGTTTCCCAAGGGGCATTGGGTTATAAGCTTATGGGAAGGAGTTGAAAATTTTTCAGAAGATCAGTTCTGCAAATGTTTTTGCTCTACACATCGTTTTAAGCTATTGCTTGAATAGCGACAGCAGTTCTTCATTAGTTTGTTGTTTGGGTTTTTTTTTTCCCTGATTTAGGGCACATTAATCACCAACAGCTTACAGGGTCTGTAACCACCGTTACAAACAGTCTCTGGCCGCTCCAGTGGGAGACTCCAGGGAGAGATTTTTGACAGCTGTGTGACCTCAGTAGACCTCACACCCACATACTTCTTCAAGGCTGTGAGTCTTCCCCCTGACTGCACGGGATGCTCAGCTGAAAGTCTGCAGGAGAGCAGCAGATTCTGTTTTCTGCTTCTCTCCGGGGACACATTTGGGTAGCAGGAGGCAGGTGTTGGCTGCTCCAGCAGAACGTAGCCGCTGCGGGGTATTTCCAACATCTTCTGGACCCTGGCTGCTGTGGGGAGCCACAAAACATCCTGCACCCTCTGGGCCAGATGGGCTGCACTGTGGCCTGAGAAGCTTCAGACCAAACAGGGCCGAGTACCCATGGACTGCAACCAGATGCAAGATTGGAGAGATGTCAAAGAAGACGGAGCTGCAGGTGCCAGTTTATGGCAAGTGCTGGATCTTTTAGCTGGAACAGACAGAAAAATAAGAGCCACAGGGCTCGACTCCCACCCTACGCAGGTCTGCTAGGCAGACCTCTCAGAGCTCCTGATTATCTCTAGAGCAGTACAGCATCCCTTGTTGCTCAATAACCAGCACAGATACTTCACGGGGGGCCGCAGTCACAGTGATATAGACTGCAGTTGACTGTTTTGTGCAGAAGGCTTTGACTATTGATTGAGAAATACAAATAATTTTAGCAATTAACAAAGTAAGTATAGAACCTACTAAATCCTTTCTACATAGTAATTTTTGATATCCTATTTTTTCAAACTCCCAAAAAGCATGAATCTGTAAATATAAACTTTCTGGGGCCAATTTTAATTGATCAGCACTTGAAGCTTAAACCAGCTTGGAAAATTCAAGCTTTGATCAAAGAGCTCATGATTAAAATTCTGGCTAGACATATTTCAATTAGCAGACTGTACTCCTCTAAGGGTAGACCAGCAGTTACGTGTAACAGGGGTTATTCTCACGCACCAGAGTTGCTATTTTTAGCTGATGTTCAAGTCTCACAGAGAAGACCCCCCTCTTTTTGGCCAGGGTCGTGTATGTGGGGTGGATAACACCGCGTGCCAACAGGAACACTGTCTTCTCTCCTTGCACCAGGTGGGTCCCCGAGTCAGCCCGGTGGCTCGTAGCCAACGGCAAGGTGAAACAAGCTCACAGGCATCTGCTTCGATGTGCAAGGATGAACGGAAGGAAAGACTTCACTGTCTCACCAGAGGTAAGAAACTCCAGATCCAGACAAATGCTCTCCCTCCCCCATTTTTTCTTTCTCTCTGTTTCACTTCTCTTTGATACCCGAAGCAATGCTCAGCCTGCAGTGTGATCTGTGGAGCACTTTGGCCCACGGGGTGCCGTGCTCCATTTTACTCTAAAAGCAGCTACATCCACTCCTAAAGATAAAGCAGCAGCTCAGCTCTCATAAAGCCAGAAATCCCCTTCCTTAGGTGGAGCGTCTTTCCATTCATTATTGCCATGACAAGAAGCTTCAATGCACCGAACACTGGACTAAATACGCAGCAAGAGAGAAGCACAGCCTGAAAAAAATAAGGCATCACTCCCATAACAGAGAGGAGGGTGTGCAGGTGCATGAGCAATTTGCACAGCTTAGTGTCTGCCTTCTTGGTTGCCATGTTTGCCGAGTGTTGGTTCAGTGCCAGCAGAAAGCAGACACACATTAATAGCATTTAGTCAGCATATTTTCTCTCATATTGCATTCGAGATACTGCATGTAGCGTTATGCAAAAATGCAAAATCTAGTCCACCTTAGGCTGCGCTTAGTGTACATGTGAAACTCAAAGATTGTCAGCCGTAGGGCCTCAGTGATGACCGTGGGTGTAAAGAACATTCAGCATAATCAACCTTTTCCCCTGGCTGAGGCTCTGCTCTCGAGTCACTCACAGCTCTGCCAGCAGTCTTAAAGGGATGTGGCAAGGGTGAGGTGTTGGGCAAAGTAGGCATGCACCCACTGGTTTGAATTCATTTTTGCTTGACCCCAGAGGTGTAAAGGATGGAGGGAGGATGCTCAGCTAGGTGACTGAATAAATAAAGGGGAAGGAGAACCCTCAAAAATAGCCGCCTGTCCTCAACTCCAAAGCTCAAGGCGTGAGGCTGATCTGGAGATCTCCATCTTGTGCTGATCTTAAAAATGTATTTTTTCAGACAGACTCACAAATGTCAAGGCCTTTTTCCATTATGTTTTTTTTTAAGGACACCCTGTTGGCTCCAGGGAACAGTGATAAGCTCAAGTGATATCCCAGTTCAGGGCATGACTCGAGGGCCAGGCAGAAGCTGGTCTCTACCTCTGGAGAAACACCAGAGCACAGCCAGCGCTCACAGCAATCCTTCGCAGGCAGGCTGGGCGGCTGCACATCTGCCACCTCTGACTAGTTTGGTCCACACGATTCGTCTTGGCCTTCTCAAGAGCAACAAAGCTCAGCCGTGAAATCCAGTGGGTACAGAAGTTTGTGGCTCATTAAACTCTTCTTTAGCATCCATTGGTTTTCCTCTTACCAAAAGAGGAAGATAAGAAACCCTTGGCACCAACACATGAGTTTTGTGCTTTGCTGTCACGGTCCAGCTGCATCTCCACGTGCACCCGGTGCTCCTGCATCCACACCACTTTTTTATTCTGGCCAGAATGCCATTTTTTAAAAGCAGCTTCTTAATATTTGTTGAAGAGATGCTTAGCCCTTTTGATTAACGACAGAAAAGTGGTGTTTAATCCCGTGAGGAATGTTGAGTTTACCAGCTGTGGCAGACAAGAGTTGAGTGCGACTCTTCCTTACCTTTAATCAAGCTAGTAGCTCTGACTAAATACGTAAAAATAACAAGTTACCGTCTTTTTCATTCAGCCTTGGCTCTGTATTTCAGAGGGCAGTGTTTCAGGCAGAAGGGCATGGGCTTGCACCCTCGTACTGCTCTTAGGGTTAGGAAATGTAGCTGGGGCTCCCCCACTATCACCGCCGTGCACCAAGTCACACCGCACTGTGACCATAGGACCATGACCAAGAAAAGCTTGCAGTTGTGACACCTTCCTGGACTCATAAGGTTTCTAAGGACAGACTTGTTTTTTCTTGTCAATATCCAGGCATGGACTTGCCTGATTCAAATTTGCTTAATTGACTTGACCATGCATCAGTGTGTTTTGATGACTTATTAAGGTAAAAAACTGGTTTTCCTTAGTTCAGAGGACTTTGAAAGACGTAATCTCTGGATAATTGTACAGCACACTACTGACAGACTCTCAGGTCTAATAGCATTGTCTTATAGAACCGATTAAGGAACTTCCCTGTGTGAAATTATTCTTTCAGTATGAAGAGCTTTGTCACTCATCCAAAAACTGCAAATAGTATGCAATGAGATAAGAAATCTTGGTTCTTCCCTAGTTAAACATGCTGTCACTTATAGCTATCCTCTTCCCTTTCCTAACATTTTCTTTCACTTTGTACAATTCTTTTAACCAGAGAGCTCTCTGGGCTGGGATTTCTCTTTTATTAGGTATTTCTGCAAGTCCTCTGCTCTCATAACTGTTCAGTATCATCTTCATTGTAGGTGATGCTGTAGGCCTGCAGATTCCCTCACCCTCCTCCCTCCCCAGCCATCACTGAATGATGTGCATTTTAACTATCTTGAGGCTTTTGCTGTTCCGTGTCTCCCAGTTGTCCTTCCACATCCCAAGAAATCTGACTAACAATACATACTGGAAGATGTTTTCCATGTTACTGTCTTTTGTTACCCATTTTAATAGCAAATCATGCAACTTAAAGTGAGGACAGACTGCCAACAGGGTAACTTGAATCCCACATTGAAATTCTCAGCATTGCAGAAGTAGTCTGTTATCAGTGCTATGATTCATCTTATGCATTTGGGTGAAAAGAGTTATTTGTCTGTGAAAAGGGTAAAAAAAAATGTTTTTAAATGGTAAAAGTTTAAAACAAGTGTATCGTTTACTTGCCATACTGCAGCATTAACAAAAGTTACCGGATCCAGAGATGCGTATACGGAAATAAAAGAAAAATGTGGGTACAACAAACCAGTACATAATGTAGGGAAGGATTTTCAAGAAGCTAAACAGACAAGCGCACACCATGTCTGGTTCAGAAAGTCCCCAGATGGCTGGAGGTGGTGACATTCCTAGAGAAATATCTACATGCTTGCCCGGCTCTTCTGCAGGCTCCACTGCAGGGTGCTGTGGGAGACAAGGCTGTGGGAGAAGATGATCCTCTGGTCCAAGATGCTGCAGGTCCTCTTCACCCATCTGAGGTGTGGATTCCCTGTGCAGCTCTGTGGCTCGGATTAAGTGTTTATGCAAAAGCTTTGGCCAAGGCTTTGCTTTCTCTGGGCCAGATACTGATTTGAGAACACATGGGACTAGTTAGCCAGACTCTGTCCTCAAAGTTTCCTGTGATTCATAATCTAATCAATCGTCACTGTCCTACCCTGCATTTGCTGATGATTTTTGGACATGACGAAGCAAGGCTGTCCTGAGAGGAATTAATCTCTCCCAACATTAGGTGTCCACACCATCACTGCCTGCAGCCTCCTCTATTTGCAATCTAACAAATAGCCAATGGAGGCTAGCACGTGGCTCTTCTGACAAAATGCAGTTGTGTGCTCTAGGATAAAATGACTCCAGCACTTCCTCTGGAGATGACCATTAACCACACGGTGAGCCTACGGCAACCAGCTTAGGTATAGCTGCCTGCATTGCAAACCTGTAGTTGTGTGAATATCTTGCATCAGCCAGTGAGTAGAAGTTACCGACTCTCTTGATACTTTCCCCTAATTCAACTGCTAAAAGACTTTGTGAATAAGCACTCTCTTCTTCCTTGTGTGCAGGACTTCTCAGTGCCTGACATTTTTATATATTCTGTATTTATATAAACCGATACATAAATGATCCCACTTTATATAAATGCACTCATGAGAATAAAGCATGCAGCTCACTATTAGCTCCTGCCTGATCCTGGACACGAACAGCAGGCCACCACATGGGGAAGAGGCTGGAATTGGCCAACGCTGACGTTGCTAATGCCATGATCTGTCACTTTTCTGCAATCCTTTCTGCCCCAAGGAGTGCGTAGGTAAGAGGGGAGAAAGGGCCATGGGAAGAAAAAGAGGTCTAAAACGGTAGGAAATTGATAAAATTATAGGAGGACACGCATCTGATAATGTATGCCCAGAGAATTGTTCTGTGATGGGAATTTATGGCAAATGCAAGGTGGAGCTGGAGCTGGGAAGGGCACAGGCCCCAGCCTGCCTCGGGTTTCATGTATGAATCCTAAGTGTACAGCAGCTTAGCTGTTTCCTTCTTCCCACCTCCCTCAGGCCCTCGGAAGGATGGCAGCAGACAAAAAGCCAGGAGAGAGTTACTCCTACATCAGTTTGTTCAGGACACCGGTCCTGCGGAAGATCTCGCTGTGTTCTGGGACTGTGTGGTGAGCAGCGTCACTTCACACGGGGGATCTGCCCCGCGGTTCCCCAGCTGGACTCCCCTCACCCCCATCTCCACGCACTCCTCGCAGGTTTGGTGTCGCCTTCTCTTATTACGGCATGAGCATGAACCTAACCGGCTTTGGGCTCAACATGTACCTCTCCCAGTTTGTCTTTGGCATCATTGAGATTCCAGCCAAGCTGATCACGTATGCGCTGGTGAATCGAGTTGGACGACGGCAGAGTCAGGCGTGGGCGCTCATCCTGACCGGACTATGCATAGGAGCCAACGTCATCATTCCCAAGCGTGAGACCCCCTCCTGCTACACGCGATCCTTGCTAGAGGGGAGGTTTCCATTCCGTGCAGTGCTAGAGAAGAACCAGAGACCTCGCCCGCAGGCAATTCTGTGCGGAGATGTCCTCCTCCTAGGAGAGCAGCAATGAGGCAAGGTTGCTAATGTGGGCTAGCCCTAATACGTGGTAGCAGCAGATGGTCTCCAGTCCCCACAAAGTGGCTAGTAAGGGCCCGGTGATAGCGAGGTGAAGGGCCTCTCTTTATTATAGACATTGTCTGATGGGAAATGTTGGGACTTTTCCTTTCATCAGTTCAGTTCCCACTTGGGCTAACAGATACCGAATGTACTAATGCAGACTTTGGAGGCAGTAGCTCCAGGGCTGCAAAGCTCCACGGTTTCTCTGTAGGAGCATTGAACCTTCTTTCTTGTACCTGAGGCCACAAGAAGCTTCTTCCTAGAGGCTGCTCTTTGACCATTGTCATAAATGTCTTTTCCTTCCTCCTAGCCTTCACCGCCTTGCGCTCTGTAGTAGCCATTGTGGGCAAAGGTTTCTCAGAAGCTGCATTCACTACCATCTTCTTGTACACCTCTGAGCTCTACCCCACCGTACTGAGGTAAGGGATGCCACTCGCCTGAGTGCACAACCAGAGCCTCAGTGGGATGTCACCCTCGGGTCCTCGACATCAGCACAGCAGGACGTGCTGTCGGTTAGACTACAGGACCGATGGCTCCAGAAGTAGCAGGTTCTAGGGATTGCACATCCGCACAAGAAAGGGGCAGAAAGCTACCCTTTTTCTAACTGGGTTGTGTGTGGTTAGGTTACATTGACAGGGAGATGTATTGAAAGGTGAGGAGTGCTCTGTGTGGGAAGAACTCCATAAGGCATCTGTGCTTAGTAAAGTCTTAGTCCCCTGTGATAATCTGCCAATAACTGTTAAAAGACCCTGAAAATAATAATTTGAATTATCAAGTTTTATAAGGGACACATACTACCACATGTTTGACGGTCTTCTGGACGTCAGGTTACATTAAAGCAGGGATTAACTAGCCTTTCCGGAGAAAAAACAGAGCTTATTTTAAATATCTGGGTAATGGTGACAAAAAAATAAACAGATTTAGCATCACCGTAATTTGGGATACAGCTGAGACTGGTGGAGGGAATCACCTCACCGGTTTCTTTGTGAAAGTCTGAAAAAGCCCTCATGGATCACAGCAGGCCTCATGGCTTTCTTCACGTCCATCCCTCCCCGCCCAGGGTACCCCTCTCTGCCATTTAGTCCTTTCACTCTCACTGGTCTGTTGCATATGGGGAATGATGCATATTTAAACCAAAGTTGGCACACTGATCTGCTCCTTTTCTTCTCAGATTGGTTTGTATTTTTACATGCTCAAAGGCATTGACAGATAAAGACAAAAATGCTTGCTCCTTCTGCAGTACTTACTCTGCATGTGCACAAGGAGGTCCCGGCATCCTTGTTGTCAATGTGAAATGCCACCCATCTCCTGAAAATTAGTAAGTGGAAGAGGTCCCAGGTCTTATTTTTGGCCTCCTCGCCAAACTCTCCTGGGCTTACCGCTGCAGCAGGACCAAAGGTGCACACAGGTACCTCTGGTCCATGCCTCCTGCCTGCAAGTGCCTGGCAGGAGGGACGTAGGTATGTGCTCAGCAGATCGGTGGACTTACTAGGGGACGGACAGAAAACACACTCGGGGTTTGAGACATTTAAAGCGGAAACAACTTTTGAGCAGGTTATTTTTAGTGTGGAACCGCAGCTTCTCTCTCACGTTAGACATAAATTTATTTTTCACAGCAGCTCTGGTTGCTCTCCGGGAAACACCGGAAGATACAAAGGAAGAAAAAAATAAACAGAATATAGGGAAAAACCGGGGGGGGGGTTGCAAACCAGCCTCAGCACTTACAGAAAAATAGGGGGAAGGGGCGGAGGGCCTGCGCTTCTCCCCCGAGGTCTGACGTGAAAGCAGCACCCGCCTGTTTCTCGCGGTGGTGCGCGCCGGCGCGGTGCCCCCCTCCCCGCTCCGCAGGCAGACTGGGATGGGGCACACCTCCACTCACAGCGTGCCTCAGGCCCCACTCGTGTTTCTGCGGGACGAGGCGCGGCGGGCTCTGCCCGAGGTGACGTGCCGCGGCCTTCCCGCGCATTGATCTTAAATTTACAGAATGCCTTTGCCTCTTGCATTGACTTCTGCAAACAACAGAGATGAGTCACCAAATTACCCGTAAATTTGGAACCTCGACAAGCAGCACTTGCCTAAATTGGGAAGAGGGAATGGCCTCAGCATCCGAGTCCCAGGCACACCGTGGTTCCCTGGGCTGAGGTGTTTTAACCTAAGCCACACACAGCCCTGTGAGGATGACACAAACTGAGGATGCGTCTGAAAGCGGGTGGAGAGGCCTGGCCAATCCCAGGTCAAAGAGTGCCTCCTAGTAGAAATAAGCTGCCTGGCAAAATTTTATACGCTTACCTTTTTGCTTTCAGGTAACAGAAGGAAAGCAAAACTCCTCAGAACCACCCTAAGGCTGAGACAATTTTGCGTATTATTTCTGTCTTAAAGATCGGGTCAAATAACCTGCCAAATCCCTGGGAAAAAGAGCATCTCCCTGTGCACTGCCTCGAGTTCATCAGCGGCAGACCTGAGCTAATAATCATCTAGCCACAACATGCTAACATTAATAATAGAGAATAATATACCTTCAAAAGTGCCATACGCAGAGCACTTCTTTGTGCACCTTTTTAGGACATTCCCCTACCCACAGCAAATACGCGGTGCAAGACTGGCAAGTGCCAGTCCAGGAAAACTTTCAATGAAGGATGTAAAATTTCACTCCAGAGCAAGAGAAATGTGAGATTTAATGTCCTGATTTCTTCCCCATCACTTTAGTCTTCTCAAAAGCACGACAGATGGGGTCCCAAATTAATGGGGTTGAGGATTGACAGTTCCCGTTCCCACTCTGCCCACGCAGGAGCATACCTACAGGCTCTTCCTCACAGACCAAGGTGTGCACGAAAAAATTACCACAGCTCACTTCTATGTGGCAAAACGCAGCACTATTCTAGCTACTAAGGAAAAAAACACCAAAACCAGGACAGCGACCAGCATGAGCACACAATGCTGATGTCATTCCCCATAGTCTGTAGGAAAAACAGGACATTAACCAACTCAAGAACTCGGAGTTTTCATTACTGATAGGTTTGTGAAGACAAACCTTACTGGGGTGGGGGCGGGCAGGGGTGTGTGTGGAAATCTGATTTCCAGGTTCTGCAACTATGAGATAAGATGTCTTTGGTCTGCTGCAGACTCGTTTATGAGGAGGACACAAGTGGTGGTTACGAACAAAAAGACCTTTTCACACAGAAAAAACAAAATAGGTCACAATGCCCAAGAAGGCAAGAATGCATCTTTAGGAATGCTAAAAGGTGACAAAAAAAAAATGTGGTTTGAAGAGTCCAATAGGTTAAGAAGAGGAAAAGGTCTGTTGGCTCTCCAGTCCCAGTGCCACATTCTTTATTACAGTGCTGGATGCACGGGGGATCCTTCCACCCATCGTGCATGTCATACCTTTCATCAGTCAAAACTTCTATCACCCTGTTACAAACATATGCACCAGATTTTCCGGAAGGATGCTACATACGCATTACATTTCCTGGAACCAAGCATCACATCTACACAGCCATGCGTTTTGGGTTTCTTAGGGTCTTCCCTGGGGGCCTTTGGGGGTCCTTTGGAATGCCCTTCTTTGGAGCATGCACAGTGCAGACCAACCTATTAGCAAATTCTTTTTGGTTATCTAGTCCTGTTTCAAGCCACAGTGTCTGCTTTCTGGCCCTTGAGGTGACAAGATTAAGACGTTTGTCATCCAGGACTCTGGAAAGGCAAGTTAACATGACCGAGAAACAACTTGTTTGACGAGATTCCCTTATCATCTGCTGTCAGCAATGTCGCCATGGCGTCAGCAGGCGTCAAGACCAAGACCAGAGTCCCAGTGTTACCGGAAAGCGGGAATTAATTCGCTCTCGAAAACTCAATTTTGGAGTTTCGGAAATCAGGCGTTCTTTATGACAGCACCAGACATGGGGGGGGGGGGGATAGCTCCTCCTGATGTGTGTGCGTAAAGACAAAATCAACACGTGATTTATACTACCTGAATCACACGCGCTCATTACATTTTTTTATCATACTTGTAACTTTTCCAGGAACCCATTAGCGCACGTTAATGCCTCTCGCGCGTGCCTGTCGGAGGCTTCAGGTGGTCGCCGGGGGTTCCTCGGGTGAAGGCTCGTAGTCTTCTTCACTGTGTCGGCCAGCTGACCCTTCCTGCACGTATCCCTCGCCCCCCCAGGCCGGGCTGCTCTGGTTTTGGTGCTGATTTGCAGCTCCCTTACCTTTACGTTTCCTTGCACCTGCTGCTGCGAGGCTGAGCCAGCGAGATTATTTAGGAGTTCCTTATCCTGCAGTTATTCTAACTGCTCCTCAACAGATCAGTCTTTCTTCTGCAGCAGAGTGGTTAAGGCAGCTTAAATTGATCTTAACAATTCTATTCCACAAATATCAATTTTTCTAATAGCTTTAGTTCACAGGTATCGCCGTGGTGATGTATCCCTCGCCCCCCCAGGCCGCCCTGCTCTGGTTTTGGTGCTGATTTGCAGCTCCCTTACCTTTACGTTTCCTTGCACCTGCTGCTGCGAGGCCGAACCGCCTCAAGTGAGATTATTAATTCCTTACCCTACAGATACTCTAATTACTCCTCAAAATATCTTTGTTCTGGTGCGGGGGTCACTTCCCCCCCCCAACTCCCCGGGCTCAGCCGGGGGGCGTGGGGGCACTGCCCGCGGAGGGTGCGCACCCCTCAAATTATTGGGGGGGGGGGGGACACGGGACACGACACCCCACCGGGGCGTCACACCCGGGTGACAGCGGGCCCACCCCCCCCCCCTCCACGCGTGGCCTCCGCAACGTCACTGCCGTTGCAGCGCGGAGGAAGAGGAGGAGGAGGAGGAGGAAGGCGGTTCTGCTTCCGAGGTCCCGGTTTCCCGCCCCCCCCCCCCCCCCCCCCCCCGCTTCCCTTCCCGCCGCGGGCGGGCGGCGTGAGGGGGCGGCGGCCCCGGGGCCCGGCCATGGGTTTGGGGCGCCCTTGGGGCTGCCGGGGGTAGGGTGGGTGGGTGGGGGTGTCACCCCGTATCCCCCCCCCCCCCCCCCCACTCTGTTCCCCGCCGCCATGTACACCTTCGTGGTGCGGGACGAGGGCAGCAGCGTGTACGCCGAGGTGAGCCGGCTGCTGCTGGGCAGCGGGCGGTGGCGGCGGCTGCGGAGGGACAACCCCCGCTTCAACCTGATGCTGGGCGAGAGGAACCGGCTCCCTTTCGGCAGGCTGGGTAAGGGTGTTGCCCCCCCACCCCACCCCCAGACCGCCACCCTTTTCCCCTCGGCGCCCCACACCCCGCTCCTCCGGGGTTTTGCCCCCCCCCCCCCCCCTTTTCCCCACCGCAGGGTGCGGTTCCCCCCCCCCCCCCCCCCCGCGGACACCGGGGCAGGGCGAGCACCCCGCGGTTTTGTCATTGGGGTGGGGGGGGGAGGTTGTTTCCCCCCCCAGTCCCTTGCAGCGACAACCGGCTTTTGGGCTCCCTCTCCCACCCGCTGCGGGGGGGGTGTGTGGGTGTGTGTGTGCTACAACCAGCTAGGGCTCAAAGGATCCCCCCCCCCCTCCCCAAGCTCCCCGAAGGGTGGATTCACCAGTGCTCCCCCCCAAAACACCCAGCCCAGCTTGCGGGCTGCGCAGGGTGGGATTCAGGGCAGCCAAGGACACCCCCCCCCCCACCTTAATGTTGCAGATCCGCAGGTTCCCAGCGCAGCCCCCACGCTCTTTGGGGGCTATTCTGACCGCTACAGGGAGTTTGGGTCGCCTGCCACGGGTTTGTGGGGGACGCGGTGGTGCTGGCGGCATCCCCCTGCCTGGCGAGGGATGGGGACGTCGTGGTGCTGAGCTTACGTGTTTTGGGGGTGTTTCCGTGGTTGGGGATGGGTGGGGGAGCAGGCCTGAGCCGGCCACGCTCGCACCCGTGGCTGGCAGAGATGTGGCCCCGCAGGGGCTTGCTGGGGGTGACAGCACGTTTCGGCCCTTCCAGGAGCAGCACGAGGGTTATTCCAGAGGTTCTTTGTGCACGTAGGGAGCAGAGATGCACCGTCACTGCCGGTGGCCCCCGGGGGCGAGCCGGCAGAAGCCGCAGAGCTGGCGGGTCACCGTGCGTGGTGCCAGGAGCGGGTTTGGGATGAGGATGCAGCAAAACCCCAGCAGAGAGGTGTGCGTCCCTCCTGCGGCCGGTCCCCCGCCGTCTGACCCTGCAGGACCCTCCTGGCCTCCCTCACTGCTTTTGGCCCTGGTTTCTTCCATCCTGGGGCTGTTTTGCAGCGCTGCTGCTGGCTGCAGAAACATCAGAGCGGGGCGGGGGGGGGGGGGGGGGGGGGAGCCCCTTTGCCCCAGCAGGTTTGGGGCAGGACAGCTTTTGCAGCCTCTTCCTTGCAGTTGAGACCCAGCACGGACTGCTCTTCCAAATGTGCAAGTCACCAGCTCCAGCACCCCTTCCCTCGTCTCCACACGCGTTTGCGAGTGGAAAGTCCCCATCGCACGGTGATGCCATCTGGTCACCTCCCAGCGTCGGGGTGTCTGCAGCAGGCAGGGAGGCTCCGGGAGGGGCTGAAGCAGTGAGGATGCTCGCACAGGCTGTAGCCAGGCACAGCAAGCAGACGTGTGCTTGAATGTAGCCAGCAGACAGGGGCTGTGACCATCGGGCTTCATTGCAGAACGAGTACGGTGCTTTGATGCTGGCCCTGCACAGCACGTCCAGCTTGTGGCCATTTCTTAGTGACCCCCACCCATCCTTGGAAAGAACCCTGGGGTGATAGAAGCGTGTGTTGCCATGGGATGCCCAAAAATTCAAACCATTTCTCACAGCTAGGAGGCATCTATGACCTGTGGAGAGAGGGACCGTGCTTTGGCACTGCCTTCTTTAACCCATCCTCCTACAGCAGGAGCTGGTTGCCTGAAATCAGTGGATTCAGACCCAAAATAACGTGGTTATTTTGGTACATCTTCCAAAAAGCTGTATCTTCTCTGGTACGTCTTCCTAAAGCTGTCCTGAGCAACTGTTGCATCAAAGCTGGCTTGGTTTGGTTTTCCTAAAGGCTCTGCTCAGTGGCAGCAGGCATTAAATCAGGGAACTGTAGGGATTTGCATTACTCAGGGGCTAAGCTGGATCGCTTGACGGGAGGGAGGGGTAGAAGTGGGGACTCGTGGCACGCACCACTGCGTTTGTCCAGCTGCAGGGATTTGTTGCTCTTGCTGACACCCTAGTTCTTGGGGGATCAAGCCCTTAAGCTGTGAGTGTCTGCATCTAAGTCTGTACCTAATGGCAGAGCAGTTAGTGCTAAGGGGCAGGAAAGCAGGAGGAGGCTGCAGAGGCCTCGTGGAGCAGAGGATGCCAGACTATGCCCTGCCAGCCACGGGAGGACCGCCAGTTTGTTCAGTGCCTTGGCAGCCTTTTAACCCTGCTAACTGCATGGTGCAGACCTCACAACGTGCCCAGGAACCCATTCCCCTTCCCACCTCGTGGTTCCTCCTTGCTGACCACCTGTGGACTGATCCCTGTGGGGCAGAGCCCACCCAGGGTGGTGGGATCTCCTTTTGGACCTCAGCTCCTCCAGGAACCAAGCAAAATCAGGAAACTGGAAACAGAAAGAAACTGGATGGTTTTTACTAATTTCTTTCAGTAAATGAATGCCTGGCAGTGCTGACTACACACTGAAGTGCCTGAAGTTACAGATCTTTTCTGGAAGGTGGTTTTCAGCTATCTTGTGTTTAAAGATTTGTGAATAAAATAGTGACCCGTGTCAGGGCCGTGACTTTGGGAATGTAATAGATACTCACTGTGATCTCGCAGCTGCCTGGTCTTTAAGATAGTGTTTGCTCCAGGCCTTTTTTCCCAGGCAAACACCAAGGAGGATAACTAAAACTCTGAATCCTTTTTCAGGGTTCAAATCACTCCCACAAGTATTTTTTTTTTTTAAAGAAGGTGGAGATGGAAGTAACAGCCACACTTGGGGGATCCGGCTGATAGGACGTCATTTCAAACCAGAGCAGTTTTCCATCATGTTTTCCCTATTGATGCTCTTGCCAGTTATTGTCACGGGGGACCCAGGTTGTGGCCCAGGCATCACTTGCCTCTTGCACGTCCCTGTTTGGCTGCAAGGGTTGTGTGGGAGAGGCTGCGTGGTGTCGCCTAGGTTTGTGCTACCCTTTGGACAACCGCTGCCATCCTGTCCCCACCCCGAGAGCTTCCAGCTGAGCACGAGTGTTCGTGCAGAGTGAGAAGGAGGAGGAAGGCAGGCTGTGGTGTGGAGCCCGGCATTGGTGAGGAGGTACCCATCTGTTTGGCGCTCTGTTTGGCACTTGCGAGGCCACAGCTGGATAGTGGGACCAGTCTGAGACTTCCCAGTACAAGAAAAGCACAGACACCTTGGAGTGACTCCATCAGGATAGTCAGGGGGACACAGAATGGCAGCCAAGCACTGGGACAAGGACCTGGAGAAGCAGTAGGATCTTCCTCCTTAGAGCTACTTGGGCTTTGACCAAAGAAGAGGTTGGAGCAGAGGCCCCCTTCCCACCCTAGCTAGCCAAGGGGGCTTGCTGCAGACTGCCAGAAGGAAGCAAGACTTCAAATCTTTTAACGTTTTGTGATATCAGGTCCAACAGGGAATCCTGCTGTATGTGACAAAGAACCAGGGCCCTCTCCTCAGCTGTGATCTTTGTGTGATGGTGTGCGTCCCTGCATCCTCCTACTGCGTGTAAGAGTAACTGAAATCTTGGCTTTTAAAAACTGCCACCAGCAAATGGAGAATGTTTTTGGGTGGTGCTGCCAGTTCCCAGTGTGAATTAGGAAATTATTATTTTCCTTTGGAAAACTGAAGTGTCACATTCAAAACAGACTCGGGTAAATGCGTGGGTTTTCATAACTAAAAGAAAGAAACCACAGGAGCCAGTACCAGCTTAGAGCCTGCTTCTGTGATGCAGGGCACGGGAACAGCCTCCTTTCTCTTCTCTGCTGCACAGGTCTTTTGCACCAAGCAGATGTTTTTCCTTCATTAACTGAGAAGTTTGACCTCTTTGTTTCCCTTTTTTAGGCCATGAACCTGGACTTGTGCAGCTGGTGAATTACTACAGGGGAGCCGACAAGCTGTGCCGCAAAGCATCTCTGGTGAAGTAAGAAATTCACTGAAACATTATAGGGGATTGGCAGAAATTTTTCTTCTAACCGTTGTTGAGTGTTGAACCTGTTTGGAGGGTATTTCACAGAACAGCTGCCCTGGGAGGGTCTGAGCATGTGCTGTCTTCAGACTCCCTTGCTGATCTCTAGAGCTATCTGTGTGCACAAAGACCCCTTTGTAACTTCAGGGGAAATACAGTTTCCACTGAATTACATCTGCTTGAAACCATAGAGTGTATTGAATCAGATTAGAGCCAAATCAGAAGAAGAAAAAAGAAAAAAAAAAAAAAAAAAAACAACAAACCGTATCTGCTTTTTTTCCATGCAGACATTTAATTAAAACCTACTCCTTTTATTCTCTGTCTTATACAGAGATGAGACACTAATATGCCTTTAGCTGATCAGATTTGTTTGTCAAACAAATGCTTGGAGGCATCTCCAGGAAGAGCTCTGGGAGTTATTTCTGCATGACCAGTTATGCCAGGGTCTCCTGGGGAATGTGGATGAGCTTTCGTTGTGCAACTCTGTGGTCATTAGGGCACCTTCATGTCAGAGCTCTTGGTCTCCTTCAAACGTTTGACTCCCTGTCAGTGTCTGTGCTGCCTCTTGCTGATTTGGTCCTGCAGTCTGTCTGTGCTGACCCAAGGCTTCTCCTTCACCCGCGAAGAACCTGGTCTCACTTGCTTCTTTACAGTGGTGATGGTGGTGTTTGTCAGGACCTGGCAGAGTATTTTTTAAGCAAGCACTCAAGGTGATCCCCAGCTGGGTTTCTCTGCGGCCCATGGTCTAGAGGCAGTGCTGAAAGTGCTTGCACACCTATTTTTCTCTCCTGAGGCTTGGCTGACCTTTCTGACTGCGGGGTCCACTATGCATCCAGCTACTTCTGAACCCAAGGGACCACAAATGACATTTTTCAGGGCTCCCGAGGTGTCACAGGCTGACTGCCATCTCAACAGAGAGGCACAAATGCCCAGAGAGAGTCAGGAGGTCAGGAGCCGTGCTTTTGGCCTTAAGCAAAGCACAGAGTGAGCGTTCAGAGAGGCATGAGCTCCCTTGACTCCGAGAGAAAACGGGCCTGGGCTCTGCTAACAGGAGTTTCTTGGCATCTGTAGATGTTACTGGTAGGAGAGATGTGCCAGAGGGATCGGAGTCTGCGTGATGCAAGGGGATGCCCAGACACCTTGGGACATGAAACGTGTAGCTGTGTCCTTGCTTTCAGTGGGTTTCCAGTGGTCTCCATCCCCAGCTGGGACACCCGATCAGATAGATCTCAGTGGGGATGGAACCAAGGGCTTCCCTTTTGCCTCTTGTGATCCTTTTTGCCCTGTTCCGTGTTAGCAAGCACACCTCCTCGGTTCTCTTGTGCAGAGATGATGCAGGGAGTGCACCACAAGTTCTAGTTACACGGAAACTTCTCTGGTGATTTTTTTCATGATAGCCATAGTATCTACAAAACATTTACGGAAGGCGTGCAGGTCTGGTTCACAGAGCAGTGCTTAGCTGCAGGTTGGGGTTGCCATATCTTTAGGGAAACCCTAATTTCAAGGGTTTCAGGTAAAAATAATTTAGCACAGATAATCTATAAGCTGCTATTCATCATCAAGTGAAAGCGCCCAGTTAACGGTGACTTTTACTTATTAAGTGACGTCCATGCAGGTGGGCACGCTCTGGAGATTAACAGCCTGTCTCTTCACCCAGGCTTATCAAGACAAGCCCTGAGCTATCGGAGTCCTGCACGTGGTTCCCTGAGTCGTATGTGATTTACCCAACAAACCTGAAGACCCCCGTGGCTCCAGCACAGAATGGAATTCGCCATCTCATAAACAACACAAGGACAGATGAGCGGGAAGTCTTCTTGGCAGCTTACAACAGGCGGCGGGAAGGCAAAGAAGGCAACGTGTGGATTGCCAAGTCCTCAGCTGGTGCCAAAGGTTCGTTCTCCAGCAAAACGAGCAACCTTCTCGTTATTTCTTACTCTTTACTTGATCAGTAGAGTCCCGGGGCTTAGCTGAGCCCAGCTGATATCTAGCTTATAAAAGGCTTTGACTGCCAACTCCATGCCAGTCAAGCCAGCGCAGGGCTCTCCTTTGTCTGGTGGCCTGGGGCTCCTGACAAGCATTGTAACATGAGCATACTACCTAGGACCTGGATGGCAGTGAAAGGACCTCCACTTTTCTACACATGTGCCTCAAAATGCAGAAAAGTTTGCTGCAGAGAGAAGGCAGCAGGGACCAGCCGGCAAGGGGAATGTGAGGAGCAGGAGATAACGGGGAGCAGAACAGGATATGGGGAGGAGGGCAGCAGGCAGGACAGCAGCCTTCAGGGGCAAGGAGCCCAGCTCTCCATGGTGCAGCTAAGCCTGGCTTCACCTGGACAGAAATACCGCTGCTGGTATTTCAGCTGAACACAGATGCCTGGTGCCAGTGGCCTGCCCACGGTCACACCGAGGGACTGGCCGAGCAGCCACGAGCTCGGTGCGTTGACATTGCACCCAGGGCACGGGGCAAGGTACCAGAGCACAGACAAGCAGTGCGATGTCTGTATGTCCCTTTGATTTGAAAAAGGCAATAGGTACCCAAGGGATAACGTGTCCTTCCTTGTTCCAGGGCCACTGCATCATTCGCTCTGCAGAAATAATGAGCTATTAGACAAGACAGCTGGACGAGGTCATAGATGCAATGCTTTGGTAACTATGTGCTGTCTGTTAGTTATGGCAGTATCACGGGCATGGTATCAGAATGACTTTATGAAAACTTGCCTTGCCATGTGTGCAGAGCCCAGCCTGAGGAAGGACCTGGTCTTTTCAAAGGGAAGAAGCCCATATGTATTGCTCATATTTTCAGAGTCGCTTTTGATGCAGTCTTGCAAAAATGACCAGCGTCAAAGCCATGAAAGCCAGAGGTGGCTGCAGGGAGGCTGCATGATAAAACTGTCCTTCATGCTGGCCTCCTCCACGGCTCTGCTCTCTTGACTGTGTTATCAAGAAGCATCAGAAGAGTATGCTTATTTTCATCAGGGAGGGAGGGGAGATGAGTCCTTTTGTTATGCCGGTGAGAAAATGTGTTTCTGTGTGGTATAACTGACGAAGAATCAATCTGGGCAATTGAAAAGGCTATTGCTGTGGTTCCCTGCAGGATGGAGAGGTTTCAGCTCTCCACGTACTTTATTCAAGTGTGATCTCATCTTTTTTACATTAGAGTAACTTTTCATATTCATCAGTGTGCTGCAGAACTCAAGCTGGGAATTAAAGTGGAAAGCAGAGCCTCACGTTAATCTTCTAGAGGGAAGTTTTAAGCGTCTGGGGATTACTTCTGGTGAAGCAGAAAGCTTGTCGACAGTAGTTGCCAAGACAGATCCAGCTCAGGCACAGCCCCTGACTCGGGACAGGTCTAGTGGAAGTTTGGTTGTCCATCAGTAAAAGGAAAACTAAAGGTTTAGGATGTCCTGATGTAAAAGTTGAGAGACATTTTTTTTCTTGGGGAGAAGGGAGACCTGCCCCACCTAAGCCGCTTTGCTGCCCCACTGTGCTAATGAGGAGGTGCCTTCCCTCTCGATTCACCCTCTGCCCAGGTGCCTGCTGATCTTCCCACTGCAGGGACTTTTCTGGCTTACAGAGACCTTTCACTCCTTCCCCCAGCGCGCAGCCTGTGCCTGTACCAATGCAAGTTTCTGCCTGGCTCTGTTGTGGTCAGAGGACTAAAAATCTTGCCCCCCCCCGCATAAGACATGAGGGAGAAAGATACTTCGATGGAAGGACTTCCTTTCGGTAGAGGACGCTAGGACTGGTAGGGGGTCAGAAGGGCTGGGAGGCTGTGACCCACAGGAATGCAAAGCATGGAGCCGTGGAAGTACCTGCAGGGCCACGTTGACAGCAACCTTCAGAAGTCACAGCTAGGAGCGTGTTCCGTGGGGTGATCCTGTCAAACCCTGCCTGTGCTCCAAACCCGTGTCCTCCCCCCCGATGCCCACCTGAAGAGGGGTTGTTTCTTTTCACTCAGTGTTTCCTCCAAAACACTCAGCACAAAATGAACGCTAAGTAATTCAGCTTTAGTCCAAAATGCTAACTAAATGCCTGAAGACTGGACACAGCGCCAGAGAAGCGTTAGATAATTTTACCTGAGCTGGTTTATTCCTCATGTGGCACCGTGACATTCCTTCACCAAATCCCACAAAGGCTATATTCTCTCTTCATTGCTCTGCAACAGTGGTTTCATATCTGGACTGAATGAACAACAACATCTGCAGCCAAAATGTGGCAGTATTGAAACAGCACATCTAACTAATGCAGAGTGTCCACAATGAGGGAAAACGCTGATTACGTGGATGAATGTTTTGAAATAGTTATTTTCCTAATGCAGTGATTTTAATAGTAACTTAAATGAACTCAGTGAGCAGGGGAACACTCTGCAAATGTGTGTGTGTGACTGCCTCTGGCAGCCAGAGAAGCCAGGCAGGGGGAGAAAGTCTGAGTCTAGGATAAAAACCGACAAACCTTCTACCCCAAGCAAGAAAAGGAAAAAAAAAAGGGAGAAAAATCTCCCAAACAACTGCCAAAATCCCTGTTCTCCAAAAACAAACCAAAATTCAATGTGCTAAATGTGCCCGACCCCCCAAACCCAGCTGGGAAAAAACACTGGAAAGGGAAGCAAGATTCCCCCCAAACCAAGCAGCTGCCCCACTGCTCACCAAGGTCCCTGTCTGCTGTGCATCCCCTGGCACCTAAATAGCCCCCCGCTGCAGACAAGCCCCAGGCAGGCCGTGCCATCTAGGGTGCCCGTGGGTCCCATTTGCCAGGCACCCCGTGGCACGGTAACGGGGAGATCCGGCTGCAGATTCGCTGCCTGCCACTGGGTGAACGCGGCGTTGCTTGGGCACCACGTTCTTCCATGTCGTGTGGCTTTTTGGGCAAAGAAGCCACGGTCCTCTTGGGCTGTGGAAGAGCTCCAGCAGAGGCAGGAGGATCCTCTACCTAATTTTGTCTTCGTCTTTCTGTGCCAGGGGAAGGCATCCTGATTTCTTCAGAGGCTGCAGAGCTCCTGGACTTCATCGATGAGCAGGGACAAGTGCACGTGATTCAGAAATACCTGGAGAATCCTCTGCTTTTAGAGCCAGGGCATCGCAAGTTTGACATCAGGTAGCCTTTTTTGATTTTGTAATAATACCAGTTTTCATTTTTGTGCTCTTTCTTTTTAAGCCAGTGAGACTAGAGTTTGCTCTTTCACCCCCCAGGAGCTGGGTTCTTGTGGATCATCAGTATAATATCTACCTCTACAGAGAGGGTGTCCTGCGGACCTCTTCCGAACCATATAACAGTGCTAATTTCCAGGACAAAACCTGCCACTTGACCAATCACTGCATTCAGAAGGAATATTCCAAAAATTACGGGCGGTACGAGGAAGGGAATGAAATGTTCTTCGAGGAGTTCAACCAGTATCTGATGGATGCCCTGAACACAACGCTTGAGAATAGCATCTTACTGCAAATCAAACACATAATAAGGTAGCCAGCTGCCTGGTGCCTAGGGGCCCATAACCCTTCAGTGACAGGGGATGCGTAGGGACACAGCTGGGGAAGCAGACAGACCGACAAGGGAAGGGTTTCAGTTGCATAAATTTAAGATAAAGCCATAAACACCCCAATGTCCATTGCTCAGTGAAAAGAGGTGCTGTTCTCTCAGGGGGTTGTGGCAGCGTGTCTGCGTTTTGGCAGCTGTGGCTGGAGAAGGGTGGAGTGAGATCACTTGGTAAGCGAAGAGGGTGGGTTGAAAGACAGGGCGGGGAGGGGCTGAGGTTAAGAAAGATGCAAGGTGTAAGAGGGGAAATGAAGCCAGAATCTAGCCTGCAGGATCTCACTCCTTCCCCCACCATCAGCAAGCAGCAGCACATCTCACTGGCATAGGTCATCTTAGTCCACACAGAGCCAGCTACCTCCTGGGCACAGAAAGTGCCTGTAGAGAGATCTCGGAGATCATGGTGCACCGGAGAATCTGGATAAATTTGATCCTTTGTGGCAGAATTTATTTTGCAAGGACCCCGTTGCTGTTCCACCAAAAAGCCATGACACAATCTTTGAGGGACTCGGAGGCAAATGAGCTCTCAATATCAGTTCCCTGGGGACCTGGTGTGGCCCTTTGTGGCTCCGCTTTCTGCTCCAAGATCTAATTGCACACTGTGTTTTTCCACTTGCCTAATCCAGTAGTGAGGGTGGATGCTGCTCTCCAGCTCTTTGGGAGTTACCTCAGGGGTGTCCCCACATGTGTTTTGGTGGTTGCACAGTCTCGCTTGCAGGGACCATGATGTCTGTTGGATATAGCTTGTAATTTGGGGCAGTCCCAGGGCAACAGGGGATCCCTCCACTTACCTGTGCTATGCACATGCCCTCAGAAGCTGCAGTGCGACAGGTATGTCTGCAGGGCTTTTAATGTTGGGTTTCTGGTTTTCCCTTCACAGAAGCTGCCTTATGTGTATAGAGCCTGCAATCAGCACGAAGCATCTTCACTACCAGAGCTTCCAGCTCTTTGGCTTTGACTTTATGGTGGATGAGGAGCTGAAGGTCTGGCTGATAGAAGTCAACGGGGCCCCAGCATGTGCCCAGTGAGTAATCAGTTTCTGTGATACCCTTGGGATGCCACCATTCACATGCTTCACCCAGAGCATGGCTGTGTCCCAGCTCCAAGAGAAAAAGGTGGAAGCAAGTGAGTGGCAGGGGTGTTTTCCAGGCTAACCCGTACAGGACCCTGCTCTAAGTGCCGACTGATTTAAGTACACTGCTCCTGTCTCTGCGTGTGGTATGCCCCAGCTTCTTTCCCGTGTGTGATGGGGCACTACCCTCGTGTTTTGGACACATGGGTTTCGATATAGCTTGGGTCATTTTTATTGACTCTATTGGGTTGACGTGATGTTGCAGAATTAACACTTTGGGGGTCAGGTCGTTTCTCAGCCTCTCTTGTGGAGCCACTGGTGGCTGGTCTTTACCTGAGCACAGGATAAATGAGTAGCATGAAGGGCAGCAGCTGGAAGTGAGTGACTGAATTTGCAGGCAGCAGGACCCCAGAGCGCACTGGATGCTGCAGACACTGGGTGAAAGCCTCCACCAGCCACAGGAAGGCTGGGACAGCCGAACAGCTGTGGCCATAAACATCTCAGCATTTGCACAGCAGGAGGTGCTATATTTTGTGATTTGAGACAACTGTGGGAGACTAGAAATCCTTGCTAAATGGGCATCTGTATCGTGTACAAGCCCAGCAAAACGGAACAGGCTGTACATCACCACATTAGAATTTGATTAGATTAGATGAGATGTAGATTAAATTAGACAAGACATCACTGACAGTAGGCAAAAAATACAGGTCAAACCTACCAGACAGCCTGTTCAGCAGCCTTTCCAGGGCTAGGGCTTGGGGAGCTTTCTGTGTCGAGGATGACCGGTTCACCATGTGCACCATACTGCAATACTGCCTTGCACCAGCTTGTGTTGCTGCATGGATTTGGGGTTGCAGCAATGCCCAGTTTGCTTTGTGTCTCTGTGGGCAACTGGAAGCCATCGAGAGCAGCTAGAGGTAGGTTTTGCCTATTTGGGGCTTCTCCTTCTCAGGGTTATTCAAATTTATAGCACCTGTGTCGCACAGTTCCCATTTAAGAGGCAAAAATTGGCTGCTGAAAGCAGTAGCACTCCCAGGAGCTGAAAAAGCATCTTGCTGTCATGTAGGCCCAAAGGCACAGGGTGAAAGACATCGTTAATCCCAGTAAAGACAGCTTTGGTACTAAAAACGTCCCAGATGCCAGGGTGTTCAGGGAGATTACACGTGTATTTCTTTCAGCAGAAAGAGAAGCTATTGTTAACTCATTTCCGAAACACCTTGTCTCTCCCGAATCCGGCTCTGCCTGAGCTGTGCCATGGTGAAACACATCCCACTCTTCCGGAGGGTGCTGTGAAGTCTCTGTGCCTGGTCACGAGTTGCTGTGCACAGCATTTCATCAAGCCACGAGTGCATCGGAGCAGTCCCTCCGGGGCACATCCCCACACGTGAAGGGGCTCTGGTGCGATAATCGCATCTCCCCGAGCTGGAGGGCTGGTGCAGGGGGTGCTCAGCTGTTGTCTGCTCCCGTGCTTCTTGCGGTGACTCAAGTCTGGAGCCCCAGGGTGTGGAGACTCTGCGCAGGGGCCTGTCCTGACAGTAAACTTAGATAATGGGGTCTGTGGTCCTGGGAATACTGGGAATGGCAACACCTTTGAAAAAGAAGTTGGTCGCTGGGGTAGGTGAGGAGATGGGAGAGATGCCGCCCTCCTCCCGCTTGCCACCCTGCAGCTAGCTACCTGTAACGGGAGCAGGATGCTGTAGATCCTGCTGGGAAAATGCATGTCTCTCTAAAAAGTGGTCGAGGTTTGTCATGGTTTTTCATGCCTGGCTGAGCATCTGATTCTCTCGTCCCTCAGGAAGCTGTATGCAGAGCTCTGCCAAGGAATCGTGGATGTAGCCATCTCTAGCGTTTTCCCCCTCAGTGACACTGGGCAGAAGACGAGCCAGGTGTCATCGATCTTTATCAAGCTGTGATGATGACAGGAATGCCTCTGCTGCGCACAGGGAGAGACTGCAGTCATCGGGTCAGCACAGTTCGGTGGCTTATCTCAGTATCATGCCAAAAAGTGAGAGAGACAGGCTTCTTATTTTCTGGGAAACCGTGGGGGAAAACCAACAAAACAGGCATCCACACAGAGCTGCGGTGAGCCAGAGCTGCTTAGATAACTCTGCTGGATTCACCAAAATCCACTTTAGAAACAGCTCGTGTGACTTTGATAGCTGAAACAAATCTCTCTGGGAGAACAACAAAATAACCTTAAAATGAAACCCCAACCAGGGATACTATAATACTGTATTAGCTCCTCCTTTTCTATAGAGATAACACTGGGCTTTTTTTAAGGGAATCGAGCGAAGAGTACGATGATCTTCTGAGACGTCGTGGCTGGGAAGTTGTCCTCCTCCCGCTGTGTTTCTTCTTGCGTCACCTACTGCATCATTAGTGCCTTAGCTCAGCTCCGAATAGGTGACTCCTTTCCTTTGTTCCTGCTCTATTATGTAGAAAGGAGCAAACCCTCTTGCGTCGCAGGATGCCTAAAACCAGGAGCACCTAGAATTCAGTTTCCTTAGGTCATTTCCCAGGCTGGTTGACTGAATAACCAGGCAACAGCTGGCAAAAGGGTGCTGAACTGCAGGTGGTGAATTAACCCAAGCAAGGAAGGCAGTTTTGTTTATTTATAGCTATCCCTTTTCCTAATGAGATTTGAATCAGTGTCCATCCCAGTCTGATGCAGTTGGATTCTGTTTAAAAGAGGTAGAGAGACCCCCTCAGTACTCACCGGCAGGCTGTAGGATTTCTAGCATCACTTTTGTGCTAAGAGTGTTTCAAACAGCGGAAACCCAATCTCCCCAGTTTCTTCTGAGACGCTGCAGTGAATTTAGGCTCTTCTCAGCTTTCCCTTTCATGTATTTGAGGCCTGAATCGGAAACCTTTCAACCCAGATTATTTTTATCCTGTTTGATCCAGCCAATTTTATTCTTCTCCATTTGACAAATACTGCAATTTTCTGCCCTGATCGCCGTCCGCAGCCCAGTCCCAGCTAGGGGGAAGGTGGGTGAGGTTTTGTAGAGCAGGGGAGGGATGCCTTGCGTATAGGTTTTCCACACAGATAGCAAGGCGGGCGTTGGGGGAGGGGGCAGGGGAGGTCAAATTCCTTGAGGTCCCAGAATTTCAGAGCTAACATCTGCTTTGGGTCTAACCTAAATCCCTGGCACATCGTCCACACTGTGAAGAGTATCTGAGTTTTCAGCATGAGCCCAGCACATCCCCCCTAAGCTAGAGCTCTTTGCAGAGCGCGGTGGCACCTGTAACAGCAGCTGGTTTTGGTTTTAAGGGGGGGTGTTCAGGGCTGTGTTCCGCTGCCTCTGGCAGGGAGAGATGGTCGGCACCAAAACGGACTGGTTTCTGTTACCCAAAACAAACAAGCGAGAAGAGATGGTGGAGGTTACAAGCTGCTGGCTGCCTGTGTACGACGGGAAGTGAATCAAGCAGTGGGATATCTGCCTCCCTCAGAAGATCCTAGCGCTTTGGCGAGCTCAGTTCTGCTCGTGACGGAGATGTCGGAGGTCTTTGTGCCAGCAGATGAGCCTGGCCCCTTTTTGTAGGCAGGACTGAAGCGAGCAGGCCTTCTCGGAGCGATGCATTTTTTTAACGGTACGGCAGCACACACGTGTTCGGATTTCACCGCGGGCCAGGTGAAGCGCAGCGGCAGCGCTCCCAGGTAAGGTGGAGGCTGTAACGGTTGAAACTCAGCTTGCAGACTTCACCACGTCTCCGTGGGCGCTTTCACATTAGCTCATGTGAGCTTAAAAATTACACCGGTTTTGCCTAGCAAAGGGAGGATCTAACGGCAATCGCCGCGGTGCAGGATGTGTCAGAGGGGACAGCGGGCTGGCGCAGACTCTAGGGCAGATGAGAGCAGAGCATGAGAAGGGAGAATTTTCCCCATCGTAATGAAATGAGAAATGCTTATTTTTCTGGGGTGCTAGACCCATCCTCCTTTTCCCCTCAAAAGGGAAATTAAAAAACTGGATTACACAGTAACGGGAGGCTGCTGCTGACGCAGTGGGATAAGGGCAAGAAAGCTGCCTGGGGGGGAGGCAAAAGCAGGAGGGGCGGTGAAACTCCAAAGCCTTCTCTTCCCCCTTTTTCACCCCGGATTGCGTCGTGGCACAGCAGCAGCCGGCCGGTTTTGCTGCTCAGCTGAAAGTGGGGCTTCGGCTTGGTGGTAGAACCGTGACCACAGGCAATGCGGCGATTCATACCCTGCCTTTCCGGCTGGGCTTGGGGGGATCCGGGGAGGCTTTGGTTGGCTTGCTGAATTTTTCAGAAATAAGCCGCAGCCTTTGGAGGAAGGAAAGCAGCAGGCATTGCATGTATTTACCACCAAGTGCTCCCCAAGGTAAAGCACAAGAGGTGAATGCTAAAGGACGGAGAGCACGGTGCCTAAGGTCGTGCCCAGAATACTAGCTACGAGGGGGAGAGGAGGATGCGTACGTGGCTGAGGCCCGAGCACTGCAGCCGTGGGCTCACCTCTCAAATGATGCTCACGAGCCCTTGTGAGGCTTTGGTTTGTTTCTCTTTTTTTTTTTTTTTTTTAGGAATACACAACAATAAATGTTTTTTTCTAGCTTATTTCAGCTAAAAGGTCAATAGAAAAGGTCTTACTCTTTCCTGAGCTTTCACAAAGGATGGTGCTGGGTTTCCGGGAGACACCGACCGTCCTGCAGAATGTCTCAAGTCGTAGTCGTATCCCTTCGTGTCAGCCAAGAAAGATTTTGGGCCCAGGCGCTCTGGCTGCGTTTTCCAGCAGGGTCTGGTCCTGCTGGACTCTGGGTTTCAGGAAACTCCCACGAGGCTTGTCTCATACCACGATAGTCGCGATTACCACGCAACAGCTATCGTGCTCCTGCCGCAAGCCGGCAGCCGGCCACAGCCCACGGAAAAAAAAAAAAAAAAAAAAAAACACCAAAACACCGGAGAAGTCTTAAGAAAGGCTCAAAAGCCGCTTCATCCAGGTGGCCCAGCTCCCCAGCCCTGCTGCGCCCGGGGCTGCCCGCATGTCCCCGCTCCCAGCGTTTCTTGTTCTCCGCGGGCCGCTGGCCCCCCGGGAGAGCCAACGCCGTGACATCCGTAGGTTCATCATCGTGTCTCATCGCCAGTGCCTGCTCCGTCAGCCTCCCCCCCCCCCAAAAAAAAAACCCCAAAACTAGTGTTGAGAGGATGGATTGGGGGGGGGGGGGGTACGTGCAGCTGCCGCACCGGGCTCTGGCTCCTGACCCCAATGTGTGCGTGTGGGGCCGGCGGGTGCCCGAGCGCGTGGATCTCCTCAACCGTCATTAAATCGTGCAAACCCCACAGCCTGCAGCGTTTCCTTGGGGCAGTGGGTCCCCCGGGGTGTCCGGTTCCCCCCCCCCCAGAGGAACCGGCCCAGCCCCACAGCGGGGGTTTCCTCACGCCGGGGTGTCGGTGCGAGGGGGGGGGGGGGGTGAGGGGTGCTGGCCCAGCACTGGTGGGGCACCGGGGAGGGCAGAGGGGGGGGTGGGCTGGGGCGGTGTCGGAGCGTCCCCACTGCTGCTGTGGGGGCTTTGGGGTGCAGGTGGCTGGGGGGGGGGGGGCAGCTCTGGGGGGGACATGGGTTGGGGGCAGCTCTGGGGGGGACACGGGGGCAGGTGGCTGGAGGGGGGGGTCAGCTCTGGGGGGGACATGGGTGCAGGTGGCTGGAGGGGGGGGGCAGCTCTGGGGGGGACCTGGGTTGGGGGCAGCTCTGGGGGGGACATGGGTGCAGGTGGCTGGAGGGGGGGGACAGCTCTGGGGGGGGACATGGGTGGGGGTCAGCTCTGGGGGGGACACGGGGGCAGGTGGCTGGGGGGGGGCAGCTCTGGGGGGGACATGGGTGGGGGGCAGCTCTGGGGGACATGGGTGCAGGTGGCTGGAGGGGGGGGGGCAGCTCTGGGGGACACGGGGGCAGGTGGCTGGAGGGGGGGGGGCAGCTCTGGGGGACACGGGGGCAGGTGGCTGGAGGGGGGGGGCAGCTCTGGGGGGGGACATGGGTGCAGGTGGCTGGAGGGGGGGTCAGCTCTGGGGGGGACATGGGTGCAGGTGGCTGGGGGGGGCAGCTCTGGGGGGGACATGGGGCAGGTGGCTGGAGGGGGGGGCAGCTCTGGGGGGGACTTGGGTGCAGGTGGCTGGAGGGGGGGTCAGCTCTGGGGGGGACATGGGGCAGGTGGCTGGAGGGGGGGGCAGCTCTGGGGGGGACATGGGGCAGGTGGCTGGAGGGGGGGTCAGCTCTGGGGGGGACATGGGTGCAGGTGGCTGGAGGGGGGGCAGCTCTGGGGGGGACATGGGTGCAGGTGGCTGGGGGGGGGGGGCAGCTCTGGGGGGGACACGGGGGCAGGTGGCTGGAGGGGGGGGGTCAGCTCTGGGGGGGACATGGGTGCAGGTGGCTGGGGGGGGGGCAGCTCTGGGGGGGACACGGGTGCAGGTGGCTGGAGGGGGGCGTCAGCTCTGGGGGGGGACATGGGTGGGGGGCAGCTCTGGGGGGGACACGGGGGCAGGTGGCTGGAGGAGGGGGGCAGCTCTGGGGGGGACTTGGGTGGGGGACAGCTCTGGGGGGGACACGGGGGCAGGTGGCTGGAGGGGGGGAGGCCGTGAGGTCACAGCTGGGCGTGGCCCCGGGGGCGGGGAGGGAGGGGTTGGCGCGTGCGCCGCAGCGCCCCCCGGCGGCGGGCGGGCGGGCGGGCGTGTGTGGGGCGGAGCCCCGCCCGACGCTGCCGGCGCCGCGTGCTCCCGCCCCGCCCCTCGGCCGGTTTCCCGTGAGGCGGCGCGGGGCGGCGGCATGGCGGGGCGCGGCGGGGATCCCCACCGGCTGCGGCCGCCGGGGCGCGGCGGGGCCCGGCGCGACCTGCCCGGCGCCCACATCGAGTCCTTCAACTACGCCGTCAGCGAGGGCGTCTACCGCGCCGTGCAGGTTTGTGGGGGGGGGGGGGGGGCGAAGGCGGCGGCGCGGGGCTGCCCCTCCCGCCGCCCCTCCCGCCGCCCCGCTTCACCCGGTGCCGTTGCAGGACCTGCAGCCGCTGGAGCTGGAGCTGAGGGCCGGCCGGGTGGCGCTGGCCGTGACCGGCGTGTCCATCGCCCCCCCCGCCGTGCCGCCGGGGACGCTGTGCCAGGAGAGGAGGGTGTTCCCGGCCGAGTGCCGCGGGCTGCGCGGCACCTACCGCGGCCGCGTCGCCGTAAGTGTTCGCGTACACGCGTGGCCCCAGGCGCGCCCCGCTCCACTCCCCCCCCCCCCCCCCCCCCCACCCGCGGAGCTGAGACAGCTCCGCGCCTTTCCGTGGGCTTTATAAAGCCGCCTTCGCGGTCCCACCCCGAGGCGGGTTAGAAGGGCTCTGTCCCGCGTGGAGTGGGCGTCGGTGAAGGGTGAGCTCCCCGCGCAAACTTCCCTCCAGACCGAGCTCGTAGCGGGCCCCCTCCGCAGCTGTGTTCCTCTCGCTGTCCAATCTTCCTTGCCCTCCCCACAGCCGTTTCAGGACACGCGTGGAAGGGGGCACCTGTGACAATCCCAACCTTCTTCCGGCAGGAATCCGGCTCTCCAAAGCAGGGTCGCTCCCCTGGACGAGCCCAGAGTTATAAACCCCCTCTTCTTCACAGCACGCGTTCGTTCCTCGTTTGTCTGAACCGCTCTGAAGCTGGCCTGGAGAATCCTCAGCAAACGTTCTCCAACGTGGAAGCAGTCCACACCCGTCGCTCTTACCTGTTCAAATCGTGTGATTGTGTTTGAGCTGTGTTTTTTCACGAGGCACCCCGTGCAAGGCGGTGCTTGCTTGTAATTTCAACTGCTTTTTTTTGTTTTGTTTTGTTTTATTTTGTCTAAAGCATTGCAACTACGAGCGATAAAAGCAGCTGTAAACACAGTGTCCTCGCTGAACGTGGAAGTGGGGCAGTCGCTGATTGTTCACAACCATTTTCCCAGACGCTCTTAAATTTTCCTCAGCTAGAGATGCTTTTATTTTTCATACCTGAATTACTTCCCCTGGGTTTTTTTTTTTTTTCCACTGTTTGCTTGTTTAATTATTTTTTGAACCTGGGTAAATATTTGGAACAAAACATTTCGCTGTGCCTTGCGTGAGAAGGCGTTGCCTTGTGCTGGGACAGCCTGGCCTCTCCCCCTGCCTGCCCTCGCACCGCAGTGTGTAGTCGCTCCCTGTTTCCCCCATGCTGCTGGAACCAAATGCCCCCTCCCCGCAGCTTCTCCCTGCTGTTCTCTCTCCCCCAGGGTGAGGAGTGAGCCCCCGGTCGCTGGGCAGCTCCTCATACAGGGGAGCCACTTTATACCTTCAGTCATCAAACCGTGCGTAGTTCTCGCTGTAAGGCTGCGCTGTGGATTTAGAGGGGCACAGGAACATTTCCCTTTCCTAATAATTCCTAAACTCGGTTTGCTCTTACAGCTGCTGCCAGGTGTTGAACCGATGTTTTTGTATTGCAATGCTGGTGTTTCTTTCCTGCGTGGCAGCAGCTCTTTTAAAGCCCCTCGCTCTGCCCGTACAGTTAGGATCGTGTGCTCCCACAGCGCGTTTTATCGCCTTGTTTCGTACGGTCAAGGGGTCCTTAGGCAGACCTGCTGCCAGATCCTGCTGTTGTAAAAAAAAATGGTTTCTTTCCCATGCACTTTTCTTTCTCGCTTTTCAGACCACTCATGAGCATGTTAAGTGAACGAGGCTTAGGAAGGGTCTCAGCAGGCTCGTGTTGTGGATGTCCTTTCGCTGAGCATTTTCTGCTTTCCTCTGCTTTTTCTTTTAACTCTTCTGAGGTCTCCTTTCCTACCCTGCAGCTGCCTCTTTTATGTAGGCTGCCCTCTTGAAGGCTCTGAAAGGCAGACTAGACTGTATCAGCTGGGTTCACTGTACTAGCAGCCTCTTTATCTTGGATGATTTTCTTCTGTAAACCTATGCTGTTTTCCAGAGTGTAACCTTTATCTACTGGTTCTGCTTTTTATCATCACTATTACCATTTTACAGTGATAAAAGTTTGCTAAACAGATTGTGGTTACATTGAACACGCAGTTAATATAGCAGGAAAGATTAAAAAGGCAACTTAACCTGCTCACTGTTTGCATTGTGTCGTTTTAGGCTGACATCAGCTGGTCAGTGAATGGCATGCCACAGGGGACTATTAAACAGCCCCTGGGGTATATTCCAATCATGGTGAAGTCCAAACTGTGCAACCTCTACAATCTTTCTCCACAAGAGCTCATACAGCACCATGAGGAGGAAGAGGTAACGGGGATTTTGCGGGTCAGGAAAATCTACATTTTACATGGGCAGTATCTCAGGCCAGCTTCTCTTTACAGAACTTGAGCATTTATATTTTGTTTCAAGTCTGACTTGTTATTTTTTCTGATGGCACCCGATTTATGGTGGTTCTCGAAAAATTTGTAGTCACAGCTGTCTTTGAATACAGGGATCTTTTTGGTGATGATACCTACGGTTCCAGTATACCACTTAACTGCTAACACAACTGAGGCTGTGTAGCTGTGAGTGGGCCTCTGTGGAGACAAGGGTTTGGAGAACAGGCAGCGAAAGAGGCATTCTCATTCTCAGTTGTCTTCTGCAGCTTTTTTCCGCATCTCCCCAGCAGCATGTCAGCTGTGGGGAGTTGCATACAGGATTATTTAGTGCCGTATTCTACACTCACTAAAAGAGGGAGCAAACGGTGACAGAAAACCTACAACAGTGTGTTACTGCTGCCCCCCATGCGTGCTGCCTGTACCCTCATTCATGGTATTACTACTGAAACACTCTCTTGTCTAATGACGTACTGTTTGGGGAGCTATAAATTAATCGGTTTGAAGCTTGTATGTGACCAGAAAGAGGTTTTCTGCACCGATGGCCCCTCTGGTTTATAAACTCAGAAGGAGAACTTTAGAGTATTTATTGAAAAAATAGTTAATGTCCGCTCTTCAGAGCTGTTCAGTTGACCACACAGGTTTTTGGAGTATTTTTTCCTTTCTTCCCCTAAGCTGTGGAACATGCATCCCTTTCCTTGGACTGTATGCTACACTTAAACTTCTAAGAGATACTGGCGAAGCGTGCAGCCTTTCCAGATGCAGTGCTGAGACATATGCCTTGCTATGTGTTTCACAGTTAAAACCTTAAACGTTTCTTCACATATAATAACAGGCGTTTTTGTCTTAAAATGCTGGGTTATGAATTTCTACGCGCATTAAAATTATTTTTCTTTTTTCTGCCAGGAAATGGGAGGCTACTTCATAATTAACGGCTTAGAAAAAGTCATTAGGATGCTGATTATGCCCAGGCGAAATTTCCCTCTTGCAATGGCGAGACACAAATGGAAAAACA